CAACAAAAGTTGATTGGCCATTAAGAATATCATGGTGTATAAATACATCAGATGCACTTGAATATTTACATCAATCAAATATAATACATAGAAATTTAAAATCATCAAATATTCTTATTGGAATTGATTTACGTGCACATATCTGTGATTATGGTCTTATATCAATTCTTCAACCATTTCGAGAAGCATGTGATAGTGAACGTTGTCTTTGTAAATTAAGTCATCCAGCTTTACCGGTGTCTATTCGTTGGTCATCACCAGAAGTTCTATCTGATCCATCCGATAAATCAAGATTTAATTATTCATGTGATGTGTATTCATTTGGTGTTTGTCTTTGGGAACAAATAGGTTTAGAACAACCTTATGCTGAAATAAAAGATGAAGCTGAAGTTAGTCGAATGATTATTGATGGACATCGTTTAACACCATTTGAAGAAACAACAACTATTGTTATGCCTGATTATAATCAATTAATGAATGATTGTTGGACAGAAAATCCCAATGATCGACCAACATTTGAACGTATTGGACAAATTTTACGAGATATGTTACCAAAAGCAAAACAATTTCGAAAAATGTCTATGAGAAGACTTTCATTAATGGCAAGTACAAATGAAATACAAGACGAACGTCGATCTATGTTAAGACGTGATTCTAAAATATCTACAGATACAATGAAATCACATCATCCTCATGTTTAAAATATAACGAAATATTAAAAATTTAGTAGATTTATACAGGTGAAACAGACATCTAATATTTATAAAAAAAAAAAAAAAAAAAACTATACATATTTTTCATTCTCATCTTGTTAATTTCGATTATACAATAGTCAAGAAAAGAAGTAAAATTATTAGCAACTATATATCTATTCAGAGTAGTACTATTTTAATTGATTATTAAAACTAATCCAATATGAAATGTATGTAAAATCCCTTTAGTAACAGCAACTATTGTTAGTAGTCCTTATCAAGGTTTAACAATAAAATGTTTTGAGAAAAAAAAACAATAGTTTCTATCTTATTGAGACTGATGGATGGATATCAGTGAATTATATTAATTATACAATTCATATGAAAATACAACACCAAAAGCTGATTATACACGTAAAACAACATGTCGTAGAGTTTCCCTAAATCAACATAATTATAATTGAAATGACTTTACGTGCTGAAATTTATATGAAAGAAATAGAAATGTCAGGTTTTCAATTTTTATTTAATCAACTTTCAAATTCATCAAGTGTTTTAGCTAATCCTGGACGCATATGATGATAGTGATGCAATCCATATTCATACATCAGTTGTTAATAATGATAGAAAAACAAAACAATTGATACAATGATAGTTCATTTAAGAAAAGATAGTTTTGCTGCTATGTCACGTTGATGTGTTGTTAATAGTTTTCGAAATAATAAACATATGCTATTACTATTTATGATATAGAGAAGCATCATCAGATGTTATTAATCAAATAGCAAATTTCAAACGTAGTTATAATGAACTTAAAGATGATGATTTTGTTTCAGATGTTTATTTAGATCATGTTACACTTGTACGAGGGCTTAAAGAAATGTTTATTTTCTCCTGAGGATATTCTTGAATAAAATATGATTATTATGAAAAAAAACCTGTGTGTAAGAAATTTTTTTTGCTATATTCAGACATTTTTGGAGCTGGACTGGTAAATCGGTGGTGGATCGGATAGCTTACCAGTCCAATTCGGGTGAATTGTTGCAATCGGTTAGTTTTTATCAATTTTTAGGCACTACAGTAAACATATTTCGATCGTTTCTGTCGATTTTCATGATTTCTACAATCCAGAAATATAAGTATCAATGAAGACCTCGGATGCTGTTGAACGTATGACTTATGGCTACGAAAAGTTAGTCAGGCATTATCAACCCAAACTAAACATTGTTTATCTCGAAATTTCAAGTTCATTTTTCTGTACTGCTTTCAACTGACTGTCGGAAACCATCAATGGCTAGTAGTTTTCAATTCATGTGTGAATTTAAAAAAATATATCCGAGACGATTTCGTTTTGTTATGAAAGTTTTACTAACTGAAAAATATTATGTGTAGTATAAAACCTACTTTGTAGTTCATTTTATCTTTCTATGTACAGTAGTAACCTTGTACCAAATGCGAAGCCTTTCGATCATGTGAAATAATGATGTCATATTTTTACTGAAGAAAGTCAAGCAAAAAAAAACATAGGTATTGCTCAAGGTGAGTTATTATGAGTAGAGGTCGATAAGTGTAGTTTGAGTTAGAAATCTATATCGGAGTCAATTAAATGTCTCATTAATAAAGCAGATTTAACACAAGAGCTTCTCTTTGAATTGCAAGTTTTATTCTTTGGTATCTACTGTACAAATTGATATGTATTTGCAACTTGACTGGTATCTCTTCAAGGCCTACGCCTATAAGAAGTTGGAGTCAATCTTCGCTTCGACTTGTTTACATCTTCATAAAGCCGTGAAGACACGTGAGTCGAGCTTACCAAATACATTAGTTTTTATTGTTATTAATAAAAAGTCTAACAGTTATAAATGTTTCACTTGAAATGTCTTCGTTCAGCTATAATAAAAAATTTTTCTCCCGAGAACTAGTTGATTAATAATATATATTAAACAGATCGGTTTTTCATTCGCTTTTCTGTTGCTAAAATCAAAAATTTTATTCAATAGTTTCTAAATTTGTAAATCAAAAATAGTTTAATAATAAAACTTTTTGATAATTATTTATTATTACAAATAAATTCTACAGCTTTCATAGTCCATTCTTGTAAAATATCTGGTTCTTCTAAATCATGATCATTTGTATTTAAAATTAATGTATGTTTAAATTGATCTTTAATACTTTCAATAGGAACAATTAAATCTTGAATACCATGTATATGAAGTATTTGATTTTGATAATCATTTAATTGAAATGAAAAATCTTCTTGTGAACATAAACGAATAAATTCATATAAAATTTTATGTGCACGATGTGATTTACAAGCATCAATTGATTTACTATTTAAATATTCTTGAAAATCTAATTCATTAAAATTTCTTTTAAAATTTTCCCATGTTATAAATCCATATTTTTCTTGCATATACCAATAACGATGAAGATCATATTGATTTAATGCTGGTGCAAGTAAAATAATTTTTTCAATTATAAAACAATTTCGATTAGAATTTATATATTTAGTTATAACACAACTACCAAGACTGTGACCAATAAAAATAAAATTTTTATAAAAATTTAATAAATATTTCATAGCATGATATAAATCATCGACAAGTGTATCAATTTTTATTTTATAATATTTACCATCAGATAGACCAATACCTGTTGGATCATAACGAAAAACACTAGCAATTGGAGTTGATGGTAATAATAATAGTTCTTCAGTTAAATTAATAAATTTAGGTGCTGTTGATGATAGACCTTCGAAACCAGCTACACAAACTACAGCAGTTTTTGATATTGAATTAATTGATTCAATAAGAAGACCACGTAGAGTGATGTTACGACTATTTTTAAATTCAACAAGACGCGTATTACTCATTATACTAAAACGAATCTTACAAAAGCATAGTTTTTTATATGCAGTATGTCGTAATGGAATTTCTTCATTTTGTTTTATCTTGCTTGAGACTATTGCAGTTTGATTTTTGTTTCAGTAATTGATATTAAGAGTCCAATTGAGTCCGGGTCCAAAAATTTTAGACCCGATGGACTATAGTTGTCTGAGAGATGTGTAGGGTACGCTTGTTACCGAATACAAAAAAATCGGAAAAAGAGAGATCTCATATCTTTGAAATGACGATCCAATTTCGATTAGAAAATTTCATTGAGACAATCAAAGTACGATTCGACGGGCTCTAACTGCATTGTTTGATATATTAATCATGAATAACACATAAAATTCAGGGAAAAAAAGATGGTGTAGTTTTTACTACAATATACAAAAAGAGTAAATCAAATTTTTTTCAATCTTTGTATCTAATCTTCTATTGTACATTTTAGTAAGAAAATATGAGTCTGTACTTCCTCACTAGATATCAATTATCAAAAAAATAAATAAACTGCAATAGTTTTAAGCAAGAAAAACTCAATTGAGGTACATTTGCAATTTTCTCACTCTTTTTTACAATTATCTTTATTGTCATTATTATATCTGTCCTATGATACTATCGGTTATTTTCTATAAACATCCGATGACTTGTAGATACACACTAAACAATCGAAGATTATTTCTTATTTGCATCGAGTTTGTTTTTCTCTATCTAGTGATCATATATTTACACAACTAAATAAATTTAAGCGTAATCAAGCAGTTGTCTAAGGAAAAAGAAGATTTTCGTGTCTACTTCAAATATAAAATAATCGAGTTTTTCTAGAAAAAAGAACATATTGATTCAATAACAACGCTTCGGGGCTATAAAGATCAATAAGTTAGTAGACTTACGAGAGAACTGATTAATCGCTTTTTAATTCGGATTCTGTATATAAGGTAGACCTCAGTGAGATATAAAAAATCTCAAAAGAATAGATCCCTTGAAAAGAATGTTCTCTTCCAGAACTATAAAAATTCCAACAAATAGGAAATTCTAGGATCTTTCGTGGATAATGGGTGATATTTTAGACTTTAATATCTCGAGAAAGAAATATTCTTTTGACCTGAAATTTCCAGGATAGTCTACTGTCCAATAAACCTATCTGTAGACAAAATCTCAAATCGGAATGCTACCATTCGATTTGTTGGTACCTCTCATGCCAGAGGCTAAAATGCCAATCACTCTGTCCATAGACGTTCTAAGGAAACTTATCCTTTTAAGGTTTTTTATACTTCACTGTGATCTACCTTTTGTACAGAGTCCGAATTCAAAAATGATTAATCAATTGAAAACGTTCCCTTGCTAGTATTGATAAAATGTTCTTTATTACATTGTATAAATGGCGCGAAGTTGTAAGTAAACAAAACAAATACTCAAGTGGAGAATGTCATTATCTTTCTTATCAAATGAAAATAATACCGAGACATTTAATATAACAAAAAGAACTACAATCAAATTAACAACATCAATAATACTTGATAATGAAAATATATGGCATGATATTAAAGTAATAAAATACAAAATGTATATTTTTTTTTAAAAATTAAAAACTAAAATTTTACTTTAGTCATTTTTCAATCTTCAAAATTCATTAATTTTACTTTCAATAATTTGTATAATATTTTTCTTCTTTTTATTATGTCTTATGTTTATTCTAATAAAATTAATGAAAAAAAAACGTTTATATAAAAAACAAATTAAATCACAAATAAAAAATTATACAGATATGAATTTTCCATTTCAAACAAAAAAATCTTCATCTCCTATTCAAATGGGTTTAACATCAAATCAAATAACATCACGTGGAAATATTATTTCAATAAATAAAGATTCTTCATCAACAATTAATCCTACACAAAGTGATAATAAACGAATATGGAATGATGAAAAATCAAACACAATAAATCCATCGCTAACAAATAATGATGAAATTGAAACAGTTAATGAAGTTCTTGCAATGGAAGAACGTAATGGAAAAATGTATTATAAAGTTAATTTTACTGGTCATTCACCTGATTATACAGCTTGGGTTTGTGAAGAAGATTTAATACCTGAATAATGACATTGATGTTTTATTTCTTTTTTTTTCTTTGTTTTCAAAATTTTTCTTTTATTAAAATTGATCTCCAACTGTGAGAGAATGATTTATGAAAGAAATAGAATGACGTTGACAAATATGAATTTTATTTTAACAGAAGTTATGCTACATAAACGTAGATTTTTTTTGAAATGGATATCAATTATAATTGCATATATATGTATTTTTTTACTCAGTTATGAATATGGTACAAGTAAAAGACATATTCCAGTAGAAGAAGTAACAAATGAACCACGTCATTTAACAATTAAACGACTTTTTTATGATCATGTAGAATATCTTAATTCATCTATGATTTTAAACATGATTAATAAAGAATTGAAACAATTGTTACCTTTTGAGATGGGTAATAAAAATTTATTCACATATTATATGAAAGAATATTTTGTTAGATGAATAAAACATTATTTCGAGAGAATATGAGCTTATAATCTTTGTAATAATATGAATGAATGATTCGAAACTGAACATTATAGATGAAGCACTATTATTCCTTTTCACACATCGCATAATCTCTAAACTTCTTCCATTATCTGATGAGTGCCAGGTTTTTTAAACTTTCCAAAGATCATATATTGTTCGCTTAATAGTGGCATGCGGTAAAGTTTTTCTTTATATCATGGATGAGAGACGTCGAAAACTTTTCTTTCCAATCCATAGGTTACCCATAATTCAGCCGATAACTCTATGAATATGCTTTAATTCGACTCTATATATTCTGTTTTTAGTTCATAGATTACAGAGTTGAATCGAGTAGTTCGAACTCTATCCATTAGGTAACCTTGATATAGACTACGACAACAAAAGACATTGTCAACAACAGAGAGAGAACCCGAATACGTGTCACATTTGATCATTCGACTAACGAGGAAATCTCTTCAGCTATTTCCTTCCGATTTCAATGATTTTTTGTCTATAATAGCTATAGACAAAAAGATCATTGAAATTAGAAGGAGACAACTGTAGAGGTTCCTCTATAAGTAACAGATACTAAGACGGTAATGGGTCACATATAGCAAGTCATAATGATGTCTTCATTGAAGCAACCTTTTTTGTAAGTCTTTTCTGAGAAATAGAGATAATTTCATGGATAAAATCATGAATCACTCGATAAAATCTGTCTTCAAATTTAGCTGCATGGATCTTCGCTAAGTTTATCCAAATGACTTGTCCAAGTCACTGAGTTTGGGTAGAGCTAACCCTTCGAAGCTTCAATTCAATCCATTTAGTATATTTCTTGTTGAGATCAACAGTTAATAAGATAGTTGATTTATTTAATATCTTCAAAAATTTTCTATGTTATAATCATTCTTTAGATCTTGTTGAAAAATATCTAAATTGAAAAAGTCTTAAAATGCATAGATCAAGAAGAAAAATATCGACAGAATAAATTTATTCTTTGTAATAAAGGATAAATATGGTGTGTTATTATTTATTATTGAAACCGATAAGAGAAAAATAATAATTCAATAACTCCATCAGTGATGTGAGTCGAAAGAAAGATGAACTCAATCTTATTCATAAACATTCGTATCTTTGTAACGCATATCGATACTTCTGTGAGTGTAGATATAAGTTATTCTAGAATAGGACTTTGACATAATCGAGCATCCTTAAAACTGTTTTGTTATTGATATCTTTAAAGTTATTCAACATTTTCCATAATTCGAGCTTCTAATGAATAGCTTGCCATTAAATATAAGTTTCAATGTACAATTCAATGTTCACGCAAAAATTCTTTCAAAATACTGCCGTATAGTTTCCATCAAACTTTTATCTTATTAAATCCTCAATCAAATAAGAATGATACATACAAATAAAAGAGACATTCTTCTAGAAGCCATCGGATCCAAAATTTTCAAACTCGAGCTCCCAACCAACTCGACGAGCTCTACAATCTTCTCAAGCTATATTTTAACGATGACATTCTTATTTTCGATATATAAAAATAACATCATATTCGACTAACCTAAACCAACAATCAAACTTCAAATATTCGTCATGGTCTTGTTGTTTTTTATGATTTTTCAAATCATCATATACTTTTTCAACAGTTTCTATGGTTATATTCATCATGGATTCAATTACGTCAACATACTTATATTCAAAATGATCTTATTTTATTTATTTCTTCATCAACAATACCTAATGATTTTAAAAAACTTAAAAATATAACTAAAAGTTTAAATAATAAAAATCAATTTATTATATATTCATGTACAACATTAATTGATTCAATATTAAATAAAAATTATAAAATATTAAATAATTTTTCAATACATTTTCATATGGAACTTGCACGTTTATTTTATTGGCAACAAACACGTCTTTCATCATTATTATTATTTCTTATAGATGAATATAAAAATAAATTATTAATATATGATTATATATTTCGTTTAGATATTGATTCATTTTTAATGTCAAATTTTTATGTTTATCAACAAACATCATCATTTATACTTGGTGAATCAATACCTTATGATCAATATACATTAAATAGATTAGAAAGAATACAAAAATATTTTTATTTAAAATCAAAATCTAAAATAATGAAACAATCAATAACAATAAGTTGGTTTGGTCGATTAAATTTCATAAGTAAATTAACACGTCAAATAATATTAATGGCTTTATGGTTAATTAAAGAAGAATTTACTGAATCTGAACGTTTACATCATTTAACTTATTTAAATTATCCATCATGGTATATTGATGGACTATTAGAATATGCAACAGCTATTATACTTTCTCTTAATCAATATGAAAAATTTTATGATAAAATTTTTTATCAATTTGATTGTCATCATGTATTAACTAATTGTCTTCATATATCTTTTCGTGATCCATCACATCATTTACATTTATCAAAACATTCACTTCGTTTATTAACAAATATTAATCAAAGTAATTTAACAAATAATGAATTATATATATATAGAACTGTGATTAAATCAAATGGAATGTTTCAATTATATTTTTCATAGTTTAGATTGTATGAATATTTTCTTTGAAATAAAATGTTTCGGTTCGAACAATACCCAATTCGATACCTTTCCAGTTCGATCCAAACCGAACTCAAACTAATAAAATTCGATTCGATTCGGTCTCTAGTTCAGTCCTGTTACGTCGACTAGTTAAGATTAATTAGAGAAATTTCTCGACTGGTCGATAAATTCTTTATTTTCATTCTGTCGACAACTTTTTGTGCCTTTGACAGAATATCTTTTAATAATTAAGCATTTGCTCGATAAGTTAAGGTGCAAGTAATAGAGAATACCAAGAATCACGAGTTGTTTATTAATATTTGACCTAATAATATGATTAATAGCAATATATTTGTTTATTTTTAAATAATAACATCGAACAAGAAGAGGACTTTTCGCAATTGGACCCGAATTCGAAATAGAGTTAACAACATCTGGCAAATGTTTTCACAATCACAGTACAGTTTTCAGACTTTTATGTGATAAACAAAAGTATACTATTTAGTTTGTTCTATAAATAGTAACAAAAAAGCAAGTGAATAAAGTAATTCAAGATTCACTTGATGTCGTTCTGCTTCTAAAATTCGATCAATTTCGTTAAGTATATGTTTGCTTGTTGGCTGATGAGGCTGAAAAGGAACGCAGTACTGGTATCAAACGTCATAATTATAGATACATGCATAAATGCTTTTTCCAGCATGATAATACATGCTTACCTCTTTGATAAATCATTTTCGACTCCATGTATTCAATTACTTCGTCACATGATTCATCATTATCTGTAGATGAGTTTTCATTTAAAACGAATTCTTTTAGTTAAACACTATCGTTTTCTATTTCTGTGACTTTTTCTCAAATACAATAAATTGTTCAATCATGATCGAATCGATTTTTACTTCTATGCTTTTATATAAATAGCAATTTGAATATTTTGAAAAATCGAGATCTCATTAATTTCCGCATCAGGTTCATGTATGATCTCATATCTAGACCCATTCTTCGGGCCATACCGAGCACTCAACCAAGTTGCAGAACACTAACCCATACTCACACTCATATTGAACATAATAATGAATCATTGTGATTGATAATATTAGAACCGAACTGAGAAATCATTGAATGGGACCGAATCAGAGGTAAATCTTTTGCCTCAAATAGAGAAATGCAACATTTGAATACAAAAAATAGTTTAATTAATTAAAAGAAAGAAAATACATAGCTTAACTCAACAACATAAACATGAGCAACAGCAGATTGTTAGAATCCGAGTCTTTTAACATAAACGAATCAAAATTTAATAAATAGTAAATACGATGTGCATTTCAAATGTATAGTATATGATAAAAACATATATAATTGTAATTTATCTAATACTTTTTCTTTTTTTGGCAGTTGTTATAGTAGAATCGTAAAATTTTGTTAACATAGATATGTAAAACAAATATTCTACTACGTAAATAACAGTGCAAAATTCAATTTGAATGCTCAAAGTTCTGAAAAAGTTTATTAATTAATACTTATTAAACAAAAAAAGAAAATATCAAAAACAAAACAAAAAAAGCATAAATGCAACTGTATTTATCTAACACGAAATAATTTCATATGAAATTGGTATTGAAGTAACGGAGGAAGATTCGAGAAATATCTATAGCAAAAGAAAACTTTAAAATATGAATATTATCTTTTTTTTTTTAGTTTTTCGTTTACCTGATCTGATACAGATCGAAGTTGAATATGTAATCGACGTAAACATTTTAGATTGTTTTGACACAGACATATGACATATTTAATATGATCATATAATTGATATTTTTTTATTTTTGATAATGAATTAACTGTTTGAATAAGTTTAATATATTGTAAAAAAGGTGCTATTCGAAATAATAATGTAAAGAATTCTAATGAATAATCAGTTGATATACAAAGTGATCGTAATGAAAATAATAATAAAGGATATGTTAATTCAAATTTGTAAGGTTCAAATATTGATTGTGAAAGATCCTAACAATACAAAAAATTCAATTTTAAATTATCAAGGACACCTCCGCCTTCGTTTGAACCATAGATAAAACGCCTAAAATAAGGAGATAGGTGTTCAAGAAAAAAAATTTTAAACAAGATTTTTCATAAGATCGAATCGGGTCCATTCACGGTCGCCCTTTAGTTTTGTCTAATTGGACTGAAATTTTTACCACCAATACTGGAAAGTACTCTCTTGAAGTGAAATCGACTGTGTTCATTTTTAATCTTTCTATCAGTATATATAGAATCTTGAATGTTAGTATCCCAGTTTTGGATCCGAACTTTGACGTATTTCTGTCATATAAAAAAGAAAGCAAAATTTCTGGAAAAGCTTAAAACAACTTCTGAAATATAGCCTATGGTCTCTCCAGAAAAATGCACAACCCAATTAAACAAAGTAAGTGGGAGATCGTAAGCAAGTCCTATAGAAAACCAGGATATTCTCGAAAAAACCTTGTTTAAATTTTTTTTCCTCAAACACATGTCTCCTTATTTTAGATGCTCTATCTGTAGTGGAAACTTCAAGAGAATCGGAGATGGTCCTTCAGCAATAGGTACCCGAGTTAGTATTGCTCATATTGAATAGCATTTTCAAAAATTTTTATGCATTAATAATAGATGAAGTTAAGATATCTGTAATTCTACCAATTAATTTTATAATTAAAGTAGAATTGTAAAAAAAAACAATGATTGATTCAAATTCGAATTTAGCTTACAAATAGTAACACATCTTTACATAATTGATTATAAAGAAGCAAAAAAAAAGTGATGAGAATAGTTTTCTTTGCTTTTCCAAGTCATATAGAAGATACCTCGTCATAATAGACAAAATGGATTATTATTATTTTACAATCATGTCCAGATCAAAGATGGAATCAGTTTGGACTTTTTATGACCGATACCGATTTAAGTAGGCCAGAGTGAATTGCACCGACCGGTCAATCTGAAATTCATACCAGTCATAGACTGACGAGTTGTTGTACTATTCTCTATGTGGATAGTGATATTTAGTGCAATCAACTTTTAACAAAGTTTCATTACACAACCTCTATGAGATAATAAGAGCAAGAATATGAATAAGACACACCAGTAATAACCAATCTATCAGCGTTCACCCGATCTGAAATCCATACTGTCCAGGCAGACAAGCAAACGGTAACAACGGTGTTTAAACAGTATGGTATGTCTCCAAAAATGCGTTTAAACTGGTCAAAAACATTTAGTTGTTTAACATGTTGTCACCGTTTAAATAGTAAATGTCTGTGATCGTTTCAACGCGGCTTCTGAGACATATCAAACAATTTTAACAGTTTGAATGAGTCTGGTTATGGCTGTTGCTGTGAATCTTCTATTTAGCCACAATTATACTCAAATCCATCAATATTCCACATCCCTACCCACACTAACACATGCGCACAAATACTTAACCCCCCCCCCCCACACACACACTCCACATCAACAACACACCCACACCTTTTACACGTCCATCAATAATGAAAAGTCACAATTCGAAAAAAGATTGATGATCAAAAGCATTTTTTTCACCGAATATACACTCAATTGCACACCAAGCGAGATATATTATAAATGAACATATGAAGAAGAAAATGAGCAAATATATGAAAATACAGAAACTAATTTTTCTTTTCATTCTGTCCGATTATTTCGAATATAAGAACGAAAAAAAAAAGTTAAAACGTGATATTATATGCAACGGAATATAAATGTATATGTATTGCAAAAAACAAAGAAAAAAGAAAGATATATAGAGATATAAATGAAATGGTATAGTTCTCACTTGCTTATATTAAATATGATGTTTTCTAAGAAAAAAAAAAGAAGTAGTGTGAACAACAACAGAGGAGTCAGAGAAGCGAAGAACGATATCAGCACTTAGTGATGGATGCTATATAAAAATAGGATAATTGAAGATACATCATAAACTGCTGATAATTTAACATTCCATGGTTTCTAATACGAGTGTAACAATGTGTTGCGTGGCAGTTTGAGCACATTACGCTATTTTATCATTGTTTACGGCAAAGCTCGCATTGTATCCTCATCAACTCACCATGATTTTTATGTCCATAGATATACATTTTCATATATATATATATATGTATACATCATTCTCTGATCAAAAATATTCAGCAAAGAACATTCAATACAAACTTCTGCCAATTCCATTACAAAAACATGTCTTTTTCTTGTTCAGTGATATGTTTACTTCCATTTTAGTTAGACAAATAAAGCATGTGAAAGACTGTAATAAATAATATTTGATCAATTTAATATGATCTAAACCAAAACGGAAATTTTTTGTTTAAACATGATTTATTTCGATGCAACAAAATAAGATCGTTTTAACGTTCTTATAATCGTTTTTTGTCTGCCTGAGTGATACTGAATCCATCTCTGGTCCAGATATTCTGGAACTAATTTAGTTCTAATCTTGACTAGAGTCCATTGGATTCGTTCCAGACTCGGAATCGGCTATGAAATTTTTCTGTTAACTGAATCCGGGTTCGAAAATTTGAAATCTGACAGGCTCTACACTTGATTACATATGACACGAATTGAGCATAAAAAATATTAATCTCAAAGAACTTTGATTGAAATTCTATGTCCAAATAAGTTTTGATATCAAATGACTACACAATAGAATATCGTTGAATTTTATTTTATTTTAAAATTCATTCTAAGATAAATGTATTATCTTAGATAAAGCAAGTTCTATTTAATAAATAATCTTCTTACCAATTCACGAATATCAATCTTTTGAAAATAATTCAATGCTCGATCAATATATCGACCTAGTTTTAACAAACATACATAATTCCACTGAAAAGAATAAAAAAAACACTAGATAAATATTTTCATTATAGAAAAAAAAACCATCATAATTTACTGATGATGAACGATCAACAAATATTTTCCATTTCTTTGATATTAATCGACAGCTAAAAAGTAAACATTCTCTTCTAAATAAGTTTCAATATAATCATTATCATTTACTTTAATCTTGTTGATATATCAGTAAAATCAATAATTTTCTGAAGAATTCGATCATCATATTTATTCGAATTAAATAAATCAATTTTCTTATCATTATCATCAAGTTTTTTAATAAATAAATCAATATCATTTTGTGATATTCCACTACATTTTAATAATTCTAAATCTGCTTGTACATAATATGGAAGTATTTTTCGTTTTTTTACTATTTTTATAGTTTCTTCAATATTATCTTTTTCTTTATTATTTTCACATAGAAATTTTGTTCGAGTATAAGTAACTGATTTATCAGAAAATATAATTATATCATAAAGTGATGGATCAACATGACATGTACTTGTTACATCTATAACTGATAATGGATTGGAACCAAAGATATTTTTAATAATAGCTGGTGGTAATTCTATTAAAAATGACCGAAAAAAAACAAAAAAAAAAAAAGAAGAATTTATTTTTTTATTATTTACCTAAACTTAATTCACGATTTTTTGAATGTTGAATTATATTTCGATGTAATAAAAAATAACAATTCAAGATTTTTATTGTTAAATATTGTCGAGTATTTATACAATATTGAACTAATTCGTATTGATTATCTGACATTATCGGAAAAAATAACGATTTTTTTTTTCTTTTCTTTTCTTTTTTATTTGACTTGAGGTCTATAATTAATTTTAATCGTTTTATTATTGGTGTATTTAATTGCATGATGAATTGCTCGATTGAGAAGGTATTTAAAGCGTCATCTATAAGAAAAAAAAAAAAGGGAATTCTATTTTATTTTTGAAAAATTATAAAGTAGAATTGAGATTATTTCAACGAGAAAATCTGATGAATGATCGAATGAGAGAAATTTTTAAAAGAATTTTTCTCTCAACCTTCTCATTGGTTATTTATTGATTTTTTCGAAAACTTTTCTACCCGATTAGAGGGCAAATATGTCGTTTGAAACTTCTGATAGTTTAGTAAACTGAATGAGTGATGAAATTGGACTGACTATTTCTTACCAAAGAATAGATTGAAAGATGTTTCTAAAATCTACACTACCTATGTAATAAGTTAGAATCATCTTACAAGGTAATGATACACCTAACTTCAATAAGATAATGAGATCAGTGTTTTATCGCTAAGCGAGCAGCGCTCTTCCGAATATATCGGATTGATCTTCCTTGAGTTGTAAATCATCCCTTTTGGAAGAGAAAACTTGCATAAAATACTGGACACGATTCAGCATGATGATCTCATAGTGCAGCAAGAGAGTTTTCTTCAATCTTGAAAATTTACTGTCCACCAATTGGAATGAGACTAATTATGCAACAGATCGAATAAATATTAGAATTAGTTATCGCATTATAATTATTTTGCTTCCTCTTCGAAACAAAATAATCAAACAAGAAATCAGTACAAACATATTAATTTTCATTTGTAATCAGCACTATTGATCGTGCAAAGATTGGTACGACACATATCTATATCGCTTGTTCCAGATCATAGTACAATGTCAGTTAAATCGACAACTTCTTTTCTAGCGGCCTTGACTCCAGTGATTTTAGTTTTTCTGGTCCCAGCCTCGGTCTAGAGAAAACTATTCCAGAGTTTATTCGTATGACATCTAAAATAATTGTTTAATACTCGTTTTTTGGATTTATTTAGTTGACAACTAGCATTTTTTTGGGCCATCACTCTTGAATTATGTTCTAGTTCATATGATTTATAAGATAATTCGCTCAAAACTACAGAATATTTTACTACAAACTTGAGTTCCGGTTACGGCAAAAATTTTTTTACGATCCGGATGTCCCGTACATCTGTAGTCCGTGACGAACCCGACGAGTTCTAGTCAATATCAACTTTGATATAAATCACTTGTTGATAAACTATTTTGTGCTAGGAATTTCATTTTTGAATATAATTTGTTTTTCACAACAAACTAGAGTTCTGCGAAATGAACTTTTTTCGAGCCCCGAACGTCCTACAGGACTCTAGAACAAATACTATTCAATAAATTATTGCTATGATTATTTCTTTGTCTATGCAAATCACTATTACGAACTTTTCAATCCTTTCAAAACTATATAGTAATGAATCACTCTTGTTTGTTTTACTTTTTTAACTAAAAAAAACTAATAACAAACAGCAAAAAAAGAAAGCTCAAACAATATCGCCATAAAAGAAAATTTTCTTTGTAGATTATAATAATCAATGGAATCGATTCAAGATTTTAATGTAACATATCCACCAACAATTGGTGATGATTGTTTAAAAATTTTTCTTAGTAATCTTGATGGTCGAATAAATACGCAAGATTTACATACATTTTTTAGTCCATTTGGTAGAATAGAACATATTGAATCTTGGACTCCAAAATCTGCAATAATTCTTTTTTCTGATATGGATTCAATTGATCGTGTTCTATTAAAATATCGAAAATGTATTATTAATAAACAAGAAATATTTATTCGTCGTTTTCGTTATGGATATATTGAACGTGCATATATGGATTCAAAAATTTTATTTATAAAACCAATAAATAATGATTTATCAATAAAATGGAATGAAACAACAATACGTAATTGTTTTCATAAATATGAAAAAAATATTGAAAAAATTCGAATTGTATCAAAATCATTTCATGGATTTATTTATTTTAAAGATTATGATATAGTTGATAGAATTCTTCTTCAAACTAATATGTTTCGTATTAATGATATACCAATTGAAATGAAACGAGCAAAATCAAATGAAAAACAAATAGAAGATAATGATATACATATTGAAAAATTAATAAAAAGAAATAAATTATTAAAAAAACAAATTGAACGTAAGATTTGATTGTTTTTGAAACAACAAAAAATGAAATTTCTTTTTTTTTTTGTATTTTAGGACAAAAAGTTGATGCTCGTCATGAAATTAAAAATCTTAAACGTAAAATAAATAAATTAAAAAATGAACTTATTGATTTAAAATCCCGATATCGTTATTAAAATAATGATTATAAATATTAGTATCAGCAAAGAAAGACTGTCTTTTTTTTTGTCGACGTTTTTTTTTCTACTCGACAAGTTGTTTTTTTTTAGTAATATTATCAAATTTTTCGATAAATTTCTAATAAAGTTCCATTATAATACTTAAAAAAAAAAGACATTATTTAATGTTTTTCTTATTCTCGAAAGTATTATTTCTAGACACTAATGCGTCAATGCTAAAAATAGGCTACTTAGAGATATATTATAAATAGGATAGCGTGAGAATTAAAATAAATTGCATGTCTGTTAAACAAATTTCAACAAAAAAAAAAAAGATTCATTAATGATTTAATGATGTGTAATCATATATTATAAAAATTAGTTCGAATTGATTTTAAGATATACATTGAAATGAAAAGTTTCAGCTCTGATCAGAATACGATCACATATATTTAATAAGTAGTCACGCAACTAGATTGGAAACTCAGCACTGGAACCTGTCGAATCCAAAAGTTTTGGACTCGAACTCGCTCGGGTTCGGGATGGAGTTCGCGACTAATCCAATAGATTCTACTTAGTATCCCTTCTTCCTTACAAGGCTTTGAACTTCTCTACCAATGGTTGAGTTCTACTGAGAGTGTGAATGTCCGATAGGTTGTTGATCGAGACTATATTCAGGTGAGAGATTATGGTGAGTAGCGTAACAGCTTAAAAGAGTTCGGTTGTTTGAGCTTTTGTTATTGAGATATCGAATTTTTACTGTATTTTTTAACAGAAAGCTGTGGTACTCTCAGACCACTATGAAAATCGAATTTCGAGTTTCGACTTGAAATCTTTGCACAAATGAAGTTGTTGATGACACTAACTCATTGTGAAAATTCCACTAATTTAAGGATTTCCTACTCTGAACTATGAATACTGCAAAACAAAAACCTTCTGAAAAAAAGGCAATCATCCTTCTTATGCTGATATCTCAGAATAACAAATACTTAAATCTGTGAAACTTTCACAATGAACCTGTGTGTCATTGAGAGCTCCACTGGTGCAAAGTTTCAAGTCGAAACTCGATCAAGAAAGCAATCGAACATTTAGACACATTCCTTTGTCAGATAAACGTGAACGGAGAAAAAATGAAAAATGAACGAAACAAGATTAAATTGTATATGAATTAAAAATTATTGATTTCGAATTTTTTAGGCCGTAGAAAATCAGATATTTTATTTACTGTTAATATATTTTTAGCAAATAATCGATTATCATTCGATAAGATGAATGGAAACTTAAAAAATCTTAACAAAATATAGAGTAAAGTTAAGACAGAGATTATCTCTTTTTTAAAATTCATGTCGAGTCCTAATAAATTCTATCCAGTACACATTTGAAGAAAAGTAGTTTTCTTTATAAAATAATCTCAAATTATATTTTATGTTATAAAATAAAAGCTTTATTTTATTCCAGGCTTTTGTAATTTAAAGAAAGTCTAGATGAATTAATAAAACGAATACAATTCAAAATTTCGTTTGCAATTTGGATATCTACATGTTGTTGACGAAATCTCATGTTTTTTTTTCCTCCATTTTATTATCAATAAATTCCAGTAATGATAAAAAGAAAAGATAATAATATGAGCTGCAACATAATTTTGAAAAAGAAAGGTTTGGTCTTATTATAGATAAGTATGGAAAAATATCTAATATAATTACAAATGAGTGTTCGTAAGCATAATCTTTGCATCCGGATAAATTCTTTTTTTTTTCCATTTGCAAAAAATAATATATATTTGACACGCGAACAACAACATCTTATCATTCTTATGAACTGTACAATAAAAATCTATCAATTTTTGTAATATTTCGAACATAATCCATGTAATTAGATTCATAAATTATTCAACTATATTATCTAGACAAATTATTAATCCCCTACACAAACAATATTTAATGTCTACTTCTTTAGTATTCGTCAGTTTCTTTTTCTTTTATATTTCTTTTTTTCTTTTTAATGTTTAACAAATCTTCTTTTTTTTTTTTGTCTTTCATCTATTTTTCTGGTAGAGTATGTCAGAAACAAGAGAATATGAATGACAACGGATTCTTTCTATTCTTAGAGATCATTTTTTCTTTTTGCGTTCATATTCATAATTAAAAGAAAGAGAAAACCTGCTAAATTACGTATATACCTTATCGATACAACGTTATCATTTAGACATACTTACGTATTTCTTTTATTGAAGAATATATTAAATAAAATGTCGACGTTATTATTTGAAGCTTGTGAAAAAAGTGATAGTAATCAAGTAGAGTTTCTAATCGATGCAAAAGTAAGAATATTATTTTTTCTTTTTTTTGTTTTTTTCTTTTGCTTAAAATAAATTGTTTAGTATAATATCAATCAATTAGATAAACAAGGTCGTTCAGCACTTCATTATTGTTGTAATAGTACAATTACAGATTGTGCTTACCTTTTATTAAAAGATGATTTAATAAAAAATACTATTCTTAATTTACAAGATAATGAAGGTTGTTCAGCACTTCATTTAGGTATATTGATAAATAAGATTTGAAAAAAAAAAAACAAAAAAAATCTATTAATATGAATTCTAGCTTGTATGAATGGTAATGAAATTATGGTGAAATTTTTATGTGAACAAGGTGCAGATGTTAAGTTACTTGACAATAAATCTCGTTCTGTTATTCATTGGATAACAGGTAAATTTACTTTTGAATTTAGGAAAAAAAAAAACAAAACAAATATTTTCTATATTAGTCTGTGGATATGTTCATCTTTTTAATATTTTGATTAAATATAAAGCACCTATACATACATCTGATATTCATGGTGCTTTTCCTATTCATTATGCATCACAATTAGGTGGTAATATTTCGGTAAATAAAGATTTTAAAATTGATTCAGGCAAAGGTAAAAATACAAATTTTTCGAAATAATATTTTTAAAATAGTTTTCTATAATTAGGTTTAGCTATTTTACAAAAAATTATTGATTATAGAGTAGACATTGATTGTGTTGATGAACAACAACGAACACCGTTTATGTGGGCTGCTAGTGCAGGTTATGAAATGATTCATCTTCATTTGTTTTCTACAGGAAATTAATGTTAACCTTAAGGATTTCAATGATGAACTAGATATTTTTCTATTATAAGAAGACTATTTAATTATGAATGAAATTCATAATTTATATTTCATCTAATATTGTAAGAATTTAATGTTTCATTTTTTAGGTACAATTGATCAATTACGTTTATTATATAAATATGGTGCCAATCAATTACATGTTGATAAAAATTCTTTGACTGGTATAAATTAATAAATAATAGAATATTTTTTATTTATATATTTTTTGTTCTTTTCTCATTTAGCACTTCATTGTGCAGCAAATCATGGTCATGTTTCTTGTATTCATATGTTAGTCGAACATTGTAAATGTCCAATAGAAGGTTTGAATTAAATTACTTAAATAATTTTTTTATATTTACAAGATTATTTAGGTGAAGATATTAATGGTTGTACAGGTTTATTTTATACTATTATGTATAATCATTCAAATGCATGTAAATTATTACTTGATTTAAAATCAAATCCTAATCATAAAGAGAAACGTGGTCGAACGTATGTTTTATATGCAAAAATTTATTTTAAAATTTTTCTTTTTTTTTTGTTTTTGAATTTCACATAGTCCAAGTCATTATGCAATATGTAATGGAAATCTTGATTGTTTAAAATATTTAATTAAATCTAATGCTAATATATGGATAAAAAATAAACGTGGTGATTATCCAATACATGAAGTAATAAATATTCTTTCACTTAAAAAAGTTCATAATCAAACAATTGAATATTCAAAAATTTTCGGTAGAAAACGAAATTCTGTTTTTATCTTCTTTGATTAATTGAAATTTTTAGCTGTTATTCGATATATTTTTCTAATATATCCAAAGAAGATTAATATTCAAAATGATGAACATCGAACTCCTCTTCATTTAGCAGCTAGTTTAGGTGATATTGATACATGTCAAATTTTAATTGAATGTGGAGCAAGAATTAATTCATTTATGCGAAATTCATCTGTAAGTAATATATCATAAGTATTAATGTTTTATTATTCAATATAAAAATTCACCTATAAAAATATTTATTTTGAAAATATTCTTGAACAGAATTAAAATAGAAATAATTTGATAACAAAACAAAACAAAAAAACTAATTATGAAAATAATAAGAAAACATTAGATTTTAAATATGTCATATAAGCTCATAAGTGGAATATGATTGACATCAGGATAAGTGGGGCAAACAGAAAAATGTTGTACGAGGGATTCAGCACGCTAACTATGTCGTTAGAAAGAGCAGAGATCTTTTGATAGTGATTTTAGAGAAAGTTTAACCACTTTTTCAGGCAGAATCCGACCGTTGTTAGGAGAGGAAGAGGGCTCGAATCAAGGGAAAAAAGCGAGACTTCAGTGCAAATGAAGTACTGAAGTCTCCTTTTTCTCCCCTTTATTTGAAGCCTTCTAGAGAAGAGGGTAACGAGGGAACTTCTCCAACTGCTCCTTTTCAATTTCAATGATTTTTTTTTCTTATAGATACTACATAATATTCTAATAAAAATCTTAAAAGGATTTGAATTTGACTAAACTATCGAATTTTTTTCTAGAAGTTCCAAGTTTTTGGAACACTTGTATTATCGAATTTTGATCTGAAACTTTGTGCATATAGAAAACTCAACTAGAATACCTTCCATAAAAACATTCACAAATTTTCGACTAAAGTCTTCTCGAGATATGAACCCTTTTCATGAATAGTGTATACAACATACATTTTTTTGAAAGCTTCGTATCTCGAAGAGACTTTGCTCAAAACTTCTGAATTTTTGTTATGGAATCTAATCTAATTGACTTTTCTATCTGTAAAAAGTTTTTAGATCAAAATTCGATTGTTTAATCAAATCTCAATAGTAATCGAAATCCTTTTAGAGTTTTTTATTAGAACACTATGTAATATTTATAGGTAGAAAAAAACAATCATTGAAATCGGAAGGAAGCAGCTGAAGAGATTTCCTTGTTGGCCTCACCTAGAATCCATCAGCTTACACCATGAATCAGGATTCATTTGTTCTTATTCATAAACGATAAAAGGTGAAAAGATTGTTGCAAAAGTCATTTGCTTTTCTCAGTATGATTAAACTGGAATAGATGATTACAGAGATGAACAAGTCAAGTCAAATTCGACTTGACTCGGATTATAGAATGACTGAATCTGCTTACTGATGTGAATTTCCTTCTTTGGCCTGTCGGTTACAGACTTCATTAAGTAATCTGTAAATTTTTCTATTATGAATCAAATCATTTTGAATGTAAAACTTAGGTAAAAGAATCGAAAAGCACATACAACATATAATTAAAATTAGTTTCATGCATCACAGATATAGTTTTCAGAGTTGTGACAAATGACCAAATCCAACGGAATATTACTAACTCTAACTTGCATAAGAATGTTCTTGGTCAAGATACTCAAATACTGCAAGAACATGAGAAAAGCAGTTTGACTAGGAATATAACAAAGAAAGTAGAGAATGTCGTAGACAAAAAACAATCATTAAATAGAGGAAATAGAAATTTTTAGAATCTAAATAAGTTGCTGAATCTTGTTTCGTAAAAAAAAACAAGAATCCATACGATTCAATGACTAGAAACCATGAATAAATCAATTAGACGATCATATTCAACAATTTCAAGGTACCTCATCGTTCTTGGGGTTTCTGCAGAACCGACTCATCAGAAAAATCTGAAATTTCCAGAGCAGATATATCTTGGCTAGTAAAGCAAAAGTTATCACATCGGATACTGTCTTCTATGAGAAGATACTGAAATTACGATGACCCCAATATTCGCTCCCGTTTCTCCGAGATGCTATATTCGATCGAGCTGGAACTTTATTTTTTTTTTGCAGATACTGGACACTGTTTGACGTGTCTATTTCTTTAAGTTTTGAGGAAAATTGCACCGTTGATTTTTGACAGATTTTACAAAACAAGTTCTAGTAAAAAAGAAGAACATGTAGTTTTGGCAGTATACTCAGTATTTTGATTTTATGTGTTACAAAGAAACTAAAAACAGCAGGCACTTCAAACAGAGTCTAGTACTTCTAAAAAAGAAAAATTTCAGCTCTATCAAATGTATCGCAGCTGAGAAAGTGGGATGGTTTTTATCCTTTGCAATCCAGATATTTCTTAGAAGAAAATATTTCGAAATTTGTAGTCTATGACAAATTTAGCTCTACTCATCGAGATCTATTTACTCTGAAAGTTTTTAAATAGTTCTAATGAGTCGTTCTTTAGAAACCTCGGAAAGACGAAGAAGAAGTCCACTTAAAACATTTATATTCATCTAAAAATAGTGCAAACTAATTTGCATGATGTTTTCACATTAACAACTTGTCCACAGTAGAAGCTATTTCGTCACACGCTGTTTGTAATGAATGAGAAGTAGTGAACAACTTTACAATATCTCATTTCAAAAAACCACAATTCTTTGTTGAAAACTATAAACGTATTTAATCCACGACATTGAGTCATTTGTACATAATGAAACAAGCAAAGCGTGACGGAATTACATTTTACGTTGATCGACTCATTAACAATTATCTATTAAGGGTGATTATTTAACTCCGTATGACCTTGCTCGTAATTGTCATCAAAATGTATGTGCTCAATATCTTCTTTATAAACATGGAGGTCAATGTGGTAATTTACTTGCTAACATTTTTGTTCGACGTATTCAAAAGTATTATCATCAATATAAATTACAAAAAGATGCATTAATTACTAAACAGAAAAATTCTGATTATAAAATAAAAAATGATTCATTGAAGAAACCAATTAATTATTCATTAAATTTATCAACAAATTTAAAACCGAATTTATCAAAACAAACAAAAACACATTTAGATAATAAAAATTTGCCTAATTGTCCAAGATCTCATTCATTAAGTCTTCAATCATCAGTGACAAATACTTCTAAATCAAATGAAAATCATGTACAAGAACGTCGTCGTAATTTTGCTAAATCAAAAACAACAAAAACTTCAATAAATCAGAGTGATGATTCAAAGTAATTTTTATTTTTTACTTTTAAATATATATATATATTTTTTTTTCTTCTAAAGATTGGATTCATCTAATAAAATTATAATACATACATCACATTCAACTACAACATATACGAAATTATGTGATCGACGTAAAATAATTGTCGAAGAATTACATAAATTAAAACAAGCACGAACACATAATAATTATGTATGATATTTCTCAAAATAAAATTAATGTGTCGAAATTTTTTTTATTGTTATTTTATTTTTTAGATAGTTATTAATCGATCATTATATAAAATTTTAATTGAAAATGCTTATAATCCACAAAATCGATCTATTGATGAAATTGAAAAATATCTTGAAACATTAGTCACATCTTATGATACAGAATTAGAAGTTATGAGAAAACGTACTAGTGTAAAAGAATTATTTTCTTTTTTTAATCAAAATAAATTTAAAACAAAAATAAAATTTTTATTTTTAGAGTTTACCACCCAAACAAAATCGTCGTACTTCAATTATGTTTTAATTAATTATTATCATAGAATAATAACAACAACAACAACAACAACAACAACAACAACAAGTGCAAAACAAAACAGTTACTCATATATTCACTAACACATTTTTTTTTCTTGTACCTCGTTTTTCCCTTGAATTATATTCATTAATTTAACCTTGTACAATTGACAGTCAATGATGATGGTAAAATGCTACGCTTGATCGAACAAGTCATGTTATAAAAAAAGAAAAAAGAAAGACTACCCATTTTTTTTTGATGACTTGTCTCGGTAAAATTTCCGTTGTCATAATTTCTTTTATTACACTTTCTATAAATAAACATCATTACAGATACTTTACTCTCTAGTGTAAAATAACATAGCCTAATATTATGAGTTACGAAGAAATTGATAGATCATCTTATGGTAAAGATGTCTTTACTAATGGTGCTGAAGGTCGTTATACTAGACCTAAACCTATATCAATAAATGGTACATTATCACATTCAATAGAAACAAGTGAAACCAAAAAACGAGTACCAAAAGCAGTTCTACCAACTACAGATAATCCAACTGAAGAACTATATGAAAATGGACATAGTGATACAATAGTTAAAACCAAAAAGAAAACACGTAAAGTTCATGAAAATGGTGAAATACAAAATGGAAATACTATTTCTGAAATCGATTCAACTATTGTGAAACCAAAGAAAAAACGAGCACCAAAAATTGATTTAAATAATGAAAATATTGATCCAATGCCAACAACAGCAACAACAACAACAACAACAACAGAAGAACCTATAAAAAAGAAAAAATCCAAAGTACCAAAACCAATATCAATAGAAGAAGAGTTCCAATTGATTGATACTTCAACTATGAATGAATTAGAAGAACCATCAATAGAAAAAAAAGTTAAAAAAACAAAAAGACATAAAACACCTAAAACATCAACAAAACTTATAGAATCATTTGATGATTTACAAATGAACAATTTAAATGAACATGCTACTAATTCAGGTATGTATTTATTTAAATATATATATATGTTTATCAATTTTTACAATTAACTACGTTCACCACGAATTCGTCGAGCTAATTGAATATCTTTTGGCATAATCTATGCAAAAAACCAAAATAGACATTTACTTTCTAAATCATATTCGATCGAAAAAAAAAATTAATACTTACTGTTACACGTTTCGCATGAATAGCACAAAGATTTGTATCTTCAAATAATCCAACAAGATATGACTATAAAGATAAAACGAAATTAATCAAATTTTATTTTCCATTGTTTTTACTTCACAAGCTTCTTGTAAAGCTAGAATAGCTGATGTTTGAAAACGTAAATCTGTTTTAAAATCTTGTGCTATTTCTCTAACTAAACGTTGAAATGGTAATTTTCTAATAAGTAATTCTGTTGATTTTTGATAACGTCGAATTTCTCGTAATGCAACTGTACCCGGACGAAATCTATGTGGTTTTTTAATTCCACCAGTTGCCGGTGCAGATTTACGTGCTGCTTTTGTAGCTAATTGTTTACGTGGTGCTTTTCCACCCGTTGATTTACGAGCTGTTTGTTTTGTACGTGCCATGATAAATTCAATATGATATGATATAGTGATAGATATAGTTAAAAGAGAATAAGAAAAAGAAAACATATATATATATCGGATTGGAGGAATAAGTTATGTCTTTACTAACCAACGAAGATTTAGATTTTATAAACGAAAAAAATGAAATAAATAAATTTTTGTTTTTTATTAAAGAATTTAATGATACATATAAATATGATGGTACTTATGGTTCAATAACTGGTGATATATCTAATGATGTACCACCATATCCAGGTGAAGGTGAACAATTTACTGATGTATTTCAAACAAGTGACTATGAAACGGCAATAACAGAGACATATAGTAATTTAGCATCAGCAGTTAATTTTTCACAATATTTTGGTAATGATGAGTGGTCTATTACATGTTTACCAAAATCAGCTCGAAATGAACCAAAATCACGTATACGAAAAATGTTACCTGGTGGTAAAGATGATAAATTCGATGGAACATCATCAACAGGAACAACAACAAATCAAAAACGTGGATTTTTAAATCGCATTCGTGCAGGTGTAAATACACTTGTACGTGATGAGAATAATATGTTATTTGGTGAACGTTCAAATTATGATATGCTTCAATATGAAGATGAAGAAGATAGTGTTGATGCAGATGATTTACATCGTTATGCACAACAATTACGTGATTTAGAAGATAATGATAGAGAAATAAATCCTGAATATCTTGTTTTACGTGATGGTAAAACAGTTTATGCTGTACACGAAACTGATGCTGATGGAAAAACAACATTATCAACACGTAAACCAATTTATGATCGTTTTTTTGATCAAACACCTGATGATGAACAAATAAGAAAAATGAAAATTTTCTCTCGTATAAAACGTACATTTTCTCGTAATAAACAGAAAGACAAAGACAATCTAAGTATCACTTCACCAAAATCAACTTATGATACACTGAATGGTGATAGAAAACGAAACATAAAAAAATCAAGCAGCAAATATATTGATGATGGCATGACAACAACAGCAAATAGTGAACTGTTAATGAATTGAAAGACTTTATGTGTTATGTGTGTGTGAATGAGAAAGAAAGGAAACACGCATAGCTTTTACTTATTTCTTATTTTTTTTTGTCTATGCGTGCGTTCTGTGAGAGTTTGCGTTCTTTATATGAATACATTTCTTGGCTTTTCCGAGAGGAAAAAAAAAGAAAAAATTCCTGTTCTCTCGGTTGCATTTACTTGTTGCGTTTGGTAAAAGCGTCAGAGTGAGTGGAACTAGAGCCTAATTTTGTTCTTCCTCTATCTCGGCCGCTGCTTGCCGTTGTTGTTTCTCGTACGTTCGATGATTAATAGACCAAATTTTCCTTCTTTTTTTTTCTCCTACTACTATCATAATAATCAATAGTCTCAAGTTTTCTTATTGATTTCATCACTCTTCATGATGGTAAGACATGCACATGAACAAAGCTCAACCTTATATATGAGCATTTCTTGTTTTTTTTTCTTTAGGTTGATTTTTATTAAAAGAAAACAAAAAAGCTATTTTTTTTTGATAATCTGTGAATAAATTTTAATTAAGAAAAAATAATTGATGGCAGTGAATTTACTTGGTAATTCAGATATCGATGCACGTGTTATTCTTAATGTAGGTGGTACACGTTTTGAAACATTAAAATCAACATTAAAAAAATTACCAGCTACACGTTTATCAAAATTAACTGAACAATTATCATATTATGATCCAATATTAAATGAATATTTTTTTGATCGTCATCCAGGTGTTTTTTCTCAAATATTAAATTATTATCGTACAGGAAAATTACATTATCCATTAAATGTTTGTGGACCTTTATTTGAAGATGAATTATCGTATTGGGGTTTACAACGTGAAGATGTTGAACCATGTTGTTGGTATGTGTTCTTTTTTTTTTTTGTTAAATAATAATTTCAATATTGGTTTTTTTTTTCTTTATTTAATTTTAGGATGACTTATACAAAACATCGTTCAACAGCTGAAACGTTATCAATATTAGATAGTTTAGAATTAGATACTGTACGTTCATCGAAACAAGAAGTACTTAAAAAATTTGGTTGGGATGATAATTATGATTATGCACAAGGTCGTTTACCAAAATATAAAAAGATGATGATGATTATATGGCAAATATTTGAAGAACCACGATCTTCAACTGTAGCTAAAGTTGTTACTGTGATTTCAATATTTTTTATTCTTGTTTCAATACTTTCTTTTGTTTTACAAACATTATCAATGTTTCGTATAACTGAAATCGATTTTATTAATGTTTATATTAATAAAACAACAACAGATCGAACACCAACATTAAATCGACAACAAGTACATCCAACATTTGATATTGTTGAATGGATTTGTATGTTAATATTTTAATTTATATTTATTTTCTTTTTTAATTTTTAATTTTTATTTTAAGGTAATTCATGGTTTATATTTGAAATAGTCATGAGGTTTATAGTTAGTCCAAATAAAAAAGAATTTTGTAAATCTACATTAAATATAATTGATTTTCTTGCAACATTTTGGTTTTATTTTACATGGGCATTAATAAAATTAAATGTTAATGATAATGAAGCACTTGATTTATTATCAACAATACGTATAATGCGTTTATTTAAATTATTTAATCATCATCCTGGTTTAAAAGTTATTATAACATCAATGCAATATTCATCATCTGTTTTATGGTTATTAATATTTTTTGTTTTAATTGCTGTTGCTGTATTTGCATCATTAATTTATTATGCTGAACGTATGACAAAAAATCCTGATAATATGTTTACATCAATACCTGATGCCTTATGGTTTAATATGATTACAATGTCAACAATAGGTTATGGTGATTATTATCCAAAAACTATGTTAGGAATGTTAGTTGGTGCTGTTTCAACAGGTATAAATCTTTTTTATTTTCTTTTTTTTAAGATTAAAAATTTGTATTTGCAACTTTTTTTTCCTAATATTTTAGTTGCCGGTGTATTGATTATTGATTTACCTATGCCGATTATTGTTGAAACATTTGCAAATTTTTATACTCATCTTCGTGCACGTTCAAAATTACCGAAAACTCGACGAAAAATTGGTCCAGCTGAATTAACAGTTAAAAAACGTACACCAATATCAGCAATAGATCATGGACAAAATCTTAAATTACTTGGACAAACAACAACAACAACAACAACAAAATCATCGATGTTTGGAAGTAAAACAATGATAAATAATAATCTTATGTCATCGATGGCATAAGAGAACAAATGAAAATAGAAGAAAAACTAAGAATATTTTATTCTTTATTTGTATGATTTAGTCAAGTATATGAGCGAGAGAAAAAAAAAACGTAAATGAACTAAGATGTTGTATTCATGTTTCAACACGAGTAGTTTCCTGCAAAAAAAAAATTTGCTTTTTAAGAAACATTTTTTGTTTTTCTTTTTTCATTTGAAAAATTTTTCAAACCTCTTCTTTATCTTCTTCATCAATCTTTAGAACATTTTCTGATTGATGAAGATCAATAGATGTTGCATTTGTTGATGATCGTGACCGAATTTCATCAGGTACAAGTTTTGATACTGTTGGATTTTCTTCAGATGCACTTGTTGATATTGGTGATTGTTCTTCAGATACAATTATTGATATCGTTGGATTTCCTTCAGATGATGATTTTGTTCTTGTTGCATTAGGTGGTTCAGTAATTGGTTTAATTGTTGGCTCGGCTTTTGCTGATGTACACGTATTACCCATTTTATTTCGTAACTTTTCAGAAAGGTAAAATGACGGGTAAAAGTCAAATGTATCAGAAAAAAACTATTTGAGACGAAACAATTAATCGTGCAACAATAGTGTTAGGAAGAAGAAGAAACAAAAAGTAACTATGTATTTTGCGACAAAGAATGTTCTCTCACCTTCCTTTTATATCATTGAATAAAATTATCTTATATAGAGTAGTTACCTTATCTTCAACTTATACATATAAGTGTAGAGCAAACACTGTTGTTATAAACAGAACTTGAATGTAAGATGAATTAAACGATAATAAAAGTCAAGATTGTTGAAGTATTCAAACAAATTCAGGTTGAAGAAATTCTAATAATAAATATCCAAGATCAAATTCCTTAAACATGAAACTATTTCAAAAAGTTTTCCCTATAAATTTAATTAATGAATAGCATTACTCGATAGATGGTGTTATTATACAGTTGACAAATGATTTATAATCATTCATTTGATTGAATCCTATCAAAAATAAGTCAAAAAAAAAACATTTCTTTTACTTACTGACCAACTTCATTTTTAATCGAAATCGTTTTCTTGAAGTTTTTCAAGGAAATATTTATTGATTGGATATACATGATGAAAATAATTGAATATTCTATTTTTATCACTAAAGTTTTCTTTTCGATCAAATTATGACAAATAATTTTTTTCCAAATCTCATATTTTGACTTATATTATATTAAAAACTATGACCAGTCGATTGGCTCGTGGGTAAATAAAATAAAACTTGACTTACATCACTTTATCATATCATCTATCTTTTTTATTTTTCGTTAGTTTCTTTCATCGAGATTTATCTGTATTAGAAACTGAAAAACTTTTACAACAAAAAAATACTCCTGGTAGTTTTCTTGTACGTCCATCACGTACAAAAGCTGATGCATATGTACTTTCTGTTCGGTATGAATGTTAAAAGAAAACTAAGACAAAAAATGAAATTGTTAATTTTGTTTTGTTTTGTAAAGACGAGCAAATGGTGAAATAACACATATACGTATTCAAAGAACCAATGAAGGATTTGATTTAGGTGAAAAACAAGAATGTTTTTCAACATTATATGATATGATTGATCATTATCGTCGAAATGTTGGAGAACTTAGAGAAAAAAATAATGAAATTATTGAATTAACTACTCCTATATTAGCACAAATGCCAACTCTAGAAAAGTAAAAAAAAAAGACATAAAAATTAGTTTTTTATTGAATTTTTTTTTAATAATAATATTTTAGATATTATCATGGAGCAATATCACATCCTCAAGTTATGTCTATTTTAAATAAATATGAACAAAATGGTACATTTCTTGTTCGAGATTCAGAAACTACACCTGGTGATTATGTTATATGTGTGAAAACTTCTGATAATATAGCAAATATAAAAATTAGATATTCAAATGGTCAATGGTTTCTTGATGGTAAAGGTCGACAAGAACAAATTGATCGTTTTAAATCATTAGATGATCTAATTCATTTTTATTTAAAACATAATATTCTCGTTACAATGAATGGTGTTGCTTTTCGTCTTGTAAAACCATGTACATCTAATTGGTTTTATGCTCGAGATGTTCATCAACGTTGTGAATATTTATCAAAATTAATACCATCACAACATGGACAAAAAACTGGTTTTAGTTTAGAATTTGAATTATTAAATCAACAAACTGAATCTCAATCATTAATATATCATAAAAAACATGGAGAAAAACAAGAAAATAGCATTCGAAATCGATTTAAAAATATTTTACCATATGATGAAACACGAATTATTTTAAAAAATTATTCAATTACAGATTATATGAATGCAAATCGTGTTCGAACATATTATGAAGGTATTGGCAGAGAATATATTGCTACACAAGGACCATTACCTGCAACAATTAATGATTTTTGGCATATGGTACAACAAGAATTAGTTAAATCTATTGTTATGATAACGCGAGAAATAGAAGGCATGAAGGTATTTAATTAAAAATATATTATAACAAACAATATTTTATAATTTCTCTTGAGAATTTTGTTATATGAATAGTTTTATCTTACTATTTTCTCGAATTCGCCTAGAAAATACATATTTTATTTTTATTCAATAGAACAAATGTGCACGTTATTGGCCTGATTTACATACAACAAAACAATATGGTACAATAAAAATTGAAAATATAAATGAAACAAATTATGGTCCACCACAAATATGGCATAATACATCACGTGCATATCGTGCACTTCCACCATCATCACAACAACTATTAAAAGATGATGATTGTTGTTATCGTTTACGTACATTAAGAATAACAACTGAAGATAAAAGAACATGGGATATTTTTCATTGGCAATATTTAGCATGGGGTGATCATGGTACAATAAATAATATTTCTTATTGATGATAAAATTGATTTTTTTTGTTTTTCAAGATTCTCCACTTGGATCAAATCAACGTGATAATGCTCAACTTGATATACTACTTGAATTTTTTGAAAGAATTGCTCAAATAAATCTAATCGGTATTAATATGAATAAGTCACCAATGATTGTTCATTGTAGTGCTGGAATTGGTCGATCAGGTGCAACAATTGCAATTGATACAATATTAAATAAAATTCGTACTAATGGACTTGATACTGAAATAGATATTCCAAATTTAGTTAAACATATTCGTTCTCAAAGATCAGGTAAATTTATTTTCTTTTTTCTTAAATAAAAGAAGAATTTATTTATTAAAATAAAATATCTTTTTTTTTTTTTGTAAAGGTCTTGTTCAAACTGAACGACAATATGAATTAATCTATCGTATGATTGAATATTTTGTCGAAAAATTTCAACATCCAACGCATAATTTAACCAAATAGTGATGTACAGTAACTTTCAAAATTATTCGATCAGATTTATTTTTAATCTTTTTACGCTGTCGTAAACGCTATGAAAAATCCATATTATTAGGGCAATATAGTCCTGATGAAATCAGGACCAACTCTTTTTCATTAGGAGTGATATCTTTTATTGTCCTTTAGAACTTGCATCAAATGTCATATTCTCACGATTCATGTGTTCTAAAAATTTATGAGAACATTGTTGAGTAATGATCACTTCAATATTTGCTGTTACAATTTTAATAGTAAGATTAATCTTTTTGTTTTCGTAAACAACCGAGTTATCGAATACATATAAGTGCCGAATAGACACAGTATTAGTGAATTAAAAAAGTAATGAACTTCCATGACAGAAAATATTAGAGGTCAGTATCCGACTCGGGTTACGAAAAAATTTTGGATTTCGCGGTAGATCTGCACCGTGAATATTTTGCAGACGCAAAAAACATTTTGAATAGTTTTTTCATTGAAAAATTCTATAAAAGAGCATGGAAAAGCTTAGTAGAACAAGAAGTTATTTATCGCACGATCTTTTCTTCTCTTTGACCTACTTTTCTTTATTGACGTCAGACAACGATGTATAAGGAGTGCACTGTCTCGTCAATGGTGACATAAAAGTCGCAAAATTATATGCATAAGAAAAGAAAGATAAACAAGAAAACATTCTATCACATAATCGCGCTATCCTAACTGAAAAATATCAAAGACATATCCTGTGTTTCCAACTACGAAATGACAGAAAGATAAAAGAAATGAAAAATTGATTTTCTCAAGAGAAAGAGAAAAATGATCGATATCAGAGTTCGAATCGGGTCAAAAAAATTTGACCCATATCAGACATTGTTAGAGGCCATGTAAAATGTCTCGAACTTATTGACACTGCTAGAAAATGATATCGAATCTTTCGCTAATACATGTATTACTAAACACGAAACCAGAACCAAACATTTTTTTTTCGACCCGAGATCAAACACGATTGGTTCTGTTCATCATTAATTATTTTGTATCGAAATAGCATTTTTATGCCTTCCGCAAAATAAGTGTATCTTAGCGAAAAAATGTCGTAAAGAGCTGGAAGACGTTTCATTTTGTAGAGAATTATTTGTTCCATCATTCTGAATAAAGCAAATAGAATTATGATTGTAAATTCTAGAAGCTAAAAAAAAACTTGATTTTGGATTTCTCAGAAATCTTATCTTCGACAAACTAGTAATTATTTTTATCATCAAAAATTCGTGTTCGAAATAAAATTCATTACTCAAATTACTATTTGAACTTTTCATAACGTTTATGGCAATGGAAAAACATTGAAAATAAACCTGGTTGAATAACTTTGAGAGCCTCTGTATATATAATTTTTTTTTACTTATTTATTTATTTGTTATTGTTATTTTTTGTTTTGTTAAATATTATTCTGCGCAAACAGTCGTAGTCAGATTAGTTCTTTATAGAGAACATTTCTAAGCTTTATAGTGACGCTTAACTAATTTATATCTATAGTGCTTTCTTGTACAATTCATTCGTCTTTCGAGTTTTTTTTTTTGTAATTGTAATTATTTATTTATTTATTTTTCATTGTAGATGTCTACAATTAGTATTAAACGAAGTATAGATTTTGATGAACTTGAACAAAACTTTAGTGAATTTTATTTTTAAATTAAATAATAAAGATGAATAAATTGAATTAGGTTTTATCATTTGATGAAGAATTTGATCAATTATGTTTTGATTATGGATTAGAATTGAATGATATTGTGAGTATTAATGAAATCAAATTTTTATTCTTGAGTGTATTATGAATTTTAAAATCTATATAATCGAGTCATATTATACGATCAAAATCAAAGTCACTAGAATGAATCTAATACTGTTTGGTTTGTTTTAAAAAAATAAAACAAACAATTCAATTTTTTTTATATAATTCAATAAAAGATAAATCATGGTGCTTCATTTGTATTATTTATTCATTATCAGATTCTCATAATTACTATTCGATTTTTTGAAGAAAAAGAAAACGTAGACAAAACATTACATAAATATGAAACGAATAGAATGTCTAAAAAGTCTTTGTTCTTACTTATTTTACGAATCGAGATCGAATACTCACGGATGACAATCTTCTATATTATTACTAATTTTAGCTGTTAAAAGAAGGACATGATATTCAAATTTTTTGTAAGTTTAATATCTTGAGACAGGCACGCATTTAAATTTTTTTCAAACTTTCAAGACATTTTAGTTTCAATTAGATCTATCTATCGACAGCAATTCAGATCAAATCAATGCAATCTTTTTTCTATTTGAACGAACGTTACTAAAAAAAAAATGTCATTAAAGTTATCATAACTCTGGAAAGTCATTCATGAACTGGAGTTATTGCACAATCATTCCAAAGTTGTAATCGGTCGGTTTTCGCCGATTCAAAAAGATTTTATGACTATGTAACTTTTCTCTGATAAAATATGTCGAGAGCTATTTAAAGTGCTCTTATCAAAGTAATCAAACAGTTTTATCTCAAGCAATGTCTCCTTCTAGATTCTGTTTTATTTCTTTAATCGAAATATATTTCATGTTGGAAAAAACACAATCAAAACTGTGTTAGTAGAACAAAAAGTTCTCAACTAATTTCATGGACGTTTCTATAAAGATCAAATTTAAATTTAGATCATCGTTCGAAGAGAAATGTTTGCTTTTTCTTCAAAATCTGATGAGGAAACTACCTGAAATGATACCTATCGTTTGAGCACATATGGCGGCTACATAGACGTGTTGGTCAGACTAGTCAAAGTCTAAAAGGGTTCGTCCTCATGATATCTTAGAGCCGAGCTGTAGCCGTTTTACGAAATTTCGCCCATGAATAAGTTGAATCATCAGTAGAATATTCTGAAAGTTTCAACTGAAAAGAATGTTTCTTTATCGAGATATTGAATTTTCAAGTAAACTCGATTTTTGTAGCAAACAACTATTTTCTAGAAGTTCAATATCTCGACAAAGGAACATCCTTTTCGGCTGAAACTTTCATTTTTGCGTGTGATGTACGATCAAATTTGAGCAAAATCAAAGGACAATATTTTTGGTCTTTGTAGTTTAGCAGAGCAAAGATATAATATAGAGAGTTGATAAATTGTGAAAATTGGCCTCATTTTTGGCAAAAGTCTCAGCTCTATACATTGAAACTATCTTGAGATAACGGATGGGTTGAAAATACTGAGATTAAATATTTATTTATTTTCGATAAACGTAAATGTATTTCGGAGAAGTCAAAAGTTACGGATTATGACCAGAATGTTGTATTCATTCCGAATATAGGCTGAAAAGTTTTCTCTTGAGACCAATGAGATGCTTCTTTGAAAGATGAAAACAAGAATAGTTTGGATGAAAAATTTTTCGTACACTTTTGTGCTTTTATTATTGCAACTTGAAAGTAGATGTTGACATCTTTATTACTACGTCAGCATGTAGAACAGAAGCTACTCTACAAAATGTACTATGAGAGTTTTGTTTGTTCTTTTACAAGTCACTTCAATTTTCGTTTTCTCTTAAATCCTCATCTTTGGAAAATCGACTTTTTGATCAAAAAATATTTTGTATAGAAAGAATCTCTTAGAAAAATGCCTACAATTTCATTTAGGTAAAAGCTACCGATTAGTTCAATATAAAATTTTATGAAGAAGTGTCAAAACAACGGACTTGAATATTTTTGGGTACTTTCGAAAAAGAACTTATAGAGGTTAGTAAAAGCCTATCGGTTCATCATTCAATCTAATTTTTCGAATTTTTATAAAACTTCTTCACTATTCTCGAACAAAAACTGAGATAAAATTTTTAAGGCTATATTCGAAAAATGCACAATATTCTCGTACTAATCCATAAGTGTTGACTCTCTTCGATAGAGCCTGTCGAGTTGATCTCGGACCCAATGAACTCTATTTCTCGGGAACTCGATCAAGGGAACCAAAAATAAACAAATATTTTGTCTGAAAACTTTTGGTCCATTCACCATTAGAAAAGCAAGGGTATTAATTAGATGTGCAATCAATTTTGAGTGGCACTGTATATGATTTAGAAGTATTTATATAAAATTTTTGTTTAAATTTGTGCATTGTTTCTTCATCTGTAACTGCAACACGAAGGAAAAACAGCGGATTTCGAAATCGAAATCTCTGCTGTTGTTTTTCTTTGATGTAACAAAATTGAGAATTTCGATTTCCTTTACAAAAACCAACGATTAGTATTTAAATTCTCTATTTTACTTATCTTGTTCACATCATGATCTAACAGATTAAATCAATTTTTAGACTAATCGAACATCAGTTTTACTAGGCTTATTAAAAACTATTGCAAATTATCAAGATACTACATTACCCATTCAACTTTTCGAAGTATCTGATGTTATTCTCAAAGATTTGTCACAAGGTTTGTTTTATTTTATAAAACAAAAAGAAAAAGCATTTCTTATTTTTTTTCCTTTATTGGTAGTCGAAATGAACGACATTTATGTACAATATATTATAATCATACACGAGATTTTAAAACAATTCATGGTTTACTCGATCGAATTATGACATTAGTTAAAGTTTCGTATAATAAAAATAAAAAAAACAACATGATGAAATTTTGTGTTTTTTATTTTTTTTAGAGAGTGCATTTTTTTCTGGTCGACATGCTGAAATAGTTGTGTGTGGAAAAATATCGGCGTTTTTAGTGCTCTTCATCCAAATTTTATTTAACATTGTGTTTAAACAAGAAACAAAGAGACATTTTTAATATTAGTTTATTTAATCAACGTTCTGCTTCATTTTTTTCTTAAAGTTTTATTTAGACAAAGAAAAAAAATTAACATGAATTTATAAGATGTCTGGAAAATTTCTTATGAACAATTATTAAAATAAAGAAGTCATCAATAAACTAATAATAATCATAATAACTTTGTTGTTATACTTTTCAACATATTCATGTTTTGTAACACAAAAAAAAAAAAGCTAACATGCAACCAAAACAAAATATGTCGTTAGTGATAATTGAAATTGTTACATTTGTATTTTGGAAGAAATAAAAAAACAAAAAAGAATATGATTGTATTGTTTTCAAAGCAACACTTATCGAAAGAGTGTAGAAGTGATTGAAACATCGAATAAAAAAGAAAAATTCAAATGTCGAAACAACAAGCACAAATAGCTCGGACATTTGATTTTTGGGGAGGAAGACCGCTTAAACGAACGTCTTCTGATCTTTTTTTTGATCGACCTCGACCAACTAATACAATATTTTCAGGTAGATTTATTTTTGGCATTGTTCTTAGTTTAATCAATAAATTTATGAATTTATAGGTCCTAATGCTTTATGGCATCAACGTTATCCATCACGAGAACTTATTGGAGATATTGGTGAAGGTCAAGCATCGACACTTCGTTCACTTGATCTCGGTTATTTAACAAGGTAATATATTTCTAAGGAATGTTTATTTAATTAAAAATGTTCTTTTTTTTTCCTGTTTGAATTGAAGAGGATATCTCATGGATCCACCAGTTCGTCGTGCTGAATATCCAGGTGAAATCGGTTGGACAGTAACATATTTTCAACGACAATTCAAACCGACAAAACCGTATACTACTTGGTATACTTGAATGTTTTTTTTTCTTATGAGAAACGATTTCTTTTTCTGACATTATTTTATATATTTTTAAATAAATAAAATTGCAAAAGTTTGTATTGAATGCCTATGAAATAAAAATTAGAAATTATTCTTCAATGTAAATCTTTGACTTACATTGAGTTATCATCAGTATTTTATCCAGCGCGATGGGCGACGTCCCTCTGAAAATCGGGTTGGCCATTCCAGAGTATGTAGTGATTGTATCATATGTTATGTGTCTGTACTCCCAGAAGCATGTGTTTGCCCTTCGGAAAGAGAAAATATGGTTCAAGCACGGCTACTGATTCCAGTCTAGAAAAAACCATTCCAGAATTTATTTTCATCAGATCTACAAAAAAAGATTCCTCAATACTCATTTGTTTGATTTATCTAACCGATGGCTAGTACTTTTTTGAATCATCTCTCTTGATCTATGTCCTAATTCATATGATTTATAATATAATTTGGTTGCAACCATAGAATATTTTACTATAAATTTGACTTTCGGTTCCAGCAAATTTTTTTCTCGTAATCTCAGTCTCGCACATTTCTAATCACAACGATCATTTCTATCCATTAAAGTCTGTGATGTCAAAAGAAATCGACAGAACCATCATTTTTCAGTTCCGATAATAGTTTTTTTCTAATTTGATTTTTGTTTCTAACAAGGGAAGTCCCTCAACTGATTAATCGCTTTACAGTTTGGATTATATGCATCATGTAGACCTTAATGAATTACGAGTACTATGACAAAAGTTCAAAGTCCTTCGTTTATTTCTGCTCAGATGCAACATTTTTACAGTATTTTTTAAGCTAATTCCATGCTTCCCCTCAGAAATATTTCGATTTGAAACTTTGCACAGAGACAGATTTTAACAAGAATAATTTATTATAAAAGTTTGAGGTCTTTTGATTTTCTCCTTTTCTGAAATGAGAACATAAAATCTGTCGATGTATATGAGCAGTGTAAAAGACAATCTCTTATCATAGGTGTATTCTTGTGACAGGAACAACGAAATCATCTGAAAGTTTCACAAACAAACTATTCTTATTAAGTTCTGTTTCTATGGAAAGCGTCAAATCGAAATGTTTCTGAGATGAAGCATGGCATTGTCTTGAAAAATATCGTAAAAATGCAATATCTCGTTAGCAATAAGCTAAGAACTCGAGCTTGCGTCTCAGAATAATCATAACTCATTAGGGTCTACATGATGTACATACTCTCGACTGAAAAGCGATTAATCAGTGGGGAAATTTCCCTCGTAAGACTCAGAAGATTTTTGTTTAAGTTCGTACAATTTTTTGAATACATGGTAAGTCAACTTCGATAATTTGAATTTGACAATTACATGATCAGTTCCTTATCTGCAAGTATGAGAATGACAGTAAAATAGAAATTTCATTAAAAATTTTCCAAATATATCTAATTCACATGGTTAATACAAAATTGAAGATCGAGAACTTACAACCATGAAATAAATACATAGATATAATAAGAAAAAGAAGTATTTTTTACAGGAGCGGCACGAAGAGATCAGAGCAGGGAGGTCAGTCCTAAAATCTGAGAAGGTCAAAAATTATTCTCCAAACCGAAGTTTTCTCTGAATTAGAGAAAATTGTATAATATATTTCTACAAAATCGAATAAAATCGCTCAAAGCTGTTCTCGAAACTTGAATTTTCTTTTAATTTAGAAAAAAATTCTAACGTATTTCTCCAAAAACGGAGAAAATCCAATTTCGAAGAACGTTATTAAACAGTGTTCTCCAATTTTTGAAAAATTTGTATAGCACATTTCTTCAAAATCAGGGAAAAATGCTTAAAAGTGTTCTCCGAAATAGGATTTTTTCCTACTTTACAGAAAATTGTCAAGTATATTTCTCCAAAATTGGAGAAAGTTGCCTATTAAATTTTCCAAATTCGAAGAAAATTGATCTCCAAAATTTTCAAATTCGGAGAAAGTCTCAACCAAAATTTTCTAGAGCAGGGGAGGGTAACCTCTCCCCCATCCCCCGATCGCACCGCCCCTGATTTTTTAACTAAAAGAATGAATAATAGCGCCATCTTTTAAACAAAAACAATCTTTAATAGGTAGTTAATATTATCGAACAAAAATTGATCGATTGATTGTACTTCTCGTTATGTTATATTATATGTAGGTACTAAAACAATTAGTTTTATGATGAACAATTGGAATCGAAGCCGAGATGTTTCATCAGAAGATCAAAGTGATTTATCAAACAAATCAATATCATCATCATATAAAAAACGTCAACAATTATCAACATTATTTAATAAAACAGCTGATATTGATGATTCACTATTTAGTCGACATTTCTTTACTTTATACCAAAAATTATGTCAGAAGATGAATTACGAAATGCATTTGAAATTCATGGTAATATTCAAGACATTCATATGATATGAGATTGATGTAGTCAAGAAAACAAAGATTTAAATTCAATTTCAAATATTAATTTATTTAAATTAATCATATTTCTATTAGGTATTGCATCTATTAAATATGAAAAAGCCTCAGCAGCTTGCTCATGCTATGGAAAAAATGAATGGAACAGTTATTACTCCACATATTCGCCCATTAAAAGTCTGTAGTTTCTTCTTTTTTTTGTCGATTATATTTTATTATTATTTATATACTAAACAGGCTATTATATCCAGTACACATCGTGAAGGTGGTGCACGTGATCCAGATGAACATGAAAACATATGACAAAAAACGATTTACATAAAGTTTTTCAAGTAATTATTAATTTAATTATAAGAAAGGAAGAAAATTAATAATTATATTTTTTATTTTTTTTAAATTTAGAAGTATGGTTCAATAATTAATATAAAAGTTATTAAAGATAAATTAACAGGTGAAAATAAAGGTTTTGCGTATATATCATTTTCAAAAGCATCTAAAGCAGCTTATGTACTTGAAGAATATGATCCAAATAAATTAATAAAGACAAAAAAAAAATCATATAAAATTATTGAATATTAAGCAATAATTTCATAGATTATAAACCAAAATTTGCTGAACCATTTTCATCAAAACATCATTGTGATAATGAAGATACATTACCAACACCAGCTTCAATTTATAATGCCATTTCACCTCTGTATCGTCAAAAAATTTCATCAACTAAACAATATTTACCACTATCAACATGTTCATTATCTAATATTAAATCAAGTTTGTTTTTTTCTTTATTCGATTAAATTTAAATTTCATTCTTTTTTGGTTTAGATTAATCATTAACACATTCATTAATGACTAATAGTTATCATTTACTAGAAATTAATAATGAACGTCGTTTAATTGTTCGTTGTGAAATGACAATAACTAAATATTATATATCAAAATTATTTGATCTTATACCAAATATGGAAGAATACTCGCCAATTAATATAAATATATTTAATGAACGTAAGTTATAAATAAGGATAATAAATATTTATCTCTTTTTTTAGAATATATTCACGAAGAGAGAATGTCGCACAGAGAAAATTCTCCAACTGATAAATCACTTTTGAGCCGAGATTATGTGCATTATGTAGACCGATATAAACTATATGTTGTGGTTAGGAAGGTGGTGATGGTCCAAACTCGAACCTTTTTTTGATCAATATTTTGCTCCCTCCGCATACATGAACAAGTGAAGGATCAACGTTTCACTTATTTAGTGGCTACTTTCAGAAAAAAAAGTCATCGTGCAGTTGTTTCTTATTGTTCACTTTCCCCTATCACACAATGCTTAATAAATGAAAAGTTTTCATTTAGTTATAGAGAGCATTTTGTTAACAAAGAAAGATTTACTTGTTTATAAATCATCTTCTGATACTAACCCCCTTGGAAATTTTGCATATAGACAGGATTTAACGAGAGTAGTTTATGATGAAAGCTTCGTGTCTTTTGATTTGCTTCTATTCTGAAAAGAACTATCAATCTGTCGGTTTATATGAGCGATGTAAAAGGTATGCTGTATCTTAAGCTAGAAACAGCATTAAGATATGAAATATTCTCAATAAACTCTTTCTCATTAAGGTTTGTCTCTAAGCAAAGTTTCTGGTCAAAATTCGAAAATTATTTTTTCTAGTCTTCCTAAAGGGAAACATGACATTTATATAAAAATTATCGTAAAAGTAGGTTATCTCTGCAGCAGTAAGTTAAGAACAACTGAAGAACTTTCCTGGTTAGGAGCAAAATGTGTTCATTAATTTCTTGAATCATTCGAATTATTGTAGTGTTTTCAATTGGTTATTGATAGAGAGTTTTGCGCATTTTATCCAACAATATTTTTCAATAAAATCATGTTTTTAAAAATTTAATTTTCTCGATGGAAAATCTTTTATATTATACTGTCAAACTTGAAGTTTACTGTATAACATTAAGATATATCGTATGAGTTTATTATGAATATTTAATATGTATTCCCAATGCTTGAAAATGAATCGATGCAGAGACCTCGTAGCGATACTAATTTCCTGATATTTTCCGATCTATCACCATAGAGCTATGTCTACACGATTATTGAAGCGTTCTGTATTATATTTAATCTATTTTGAAAGTTTTTTTTATTAAAATAGTTGTAGAATATTTTCTACCAAGAAAAAAAAGATACAATATGAATATTATATTTGTTTCATAGTTGATTTTAAATAGTTTTCATCATTTTCAAATTCATTGAAATTTCAGAGAAGCTAGTTTTATATTTACAATTGTTATTAGTGTGAAGTAAATCATGAAGAAGGGCACTTTTCGTTGGTATCAGATGTTTTCATCATTTTGAAACAAATTTTTTAAATCATGATGAAATTCTGTATAAATTTATCTGTATTGTTCAATGAATGTTGTTCTTTTTCATTTTTAAAATTAAACATAACTTTAATAAAGTACAACTTTCAAAATTGTTATATACTCAATAGAAAAAAAAAAAAAGATTTCAATACTTCGAGCTACTTAAGTCTTACTTTTTCCTCTTGGGGCAGTTGTCACCTTAAAGTAAAATGATGAAACTAATGTCTACAGAAAAACATACACATATTATATGTTATTTTTGTTGTTAATGAATTTCTAAGAATTGCCATTAGGAAATAACTGAGATGTGAGTAGCGTTTAGAGGAGTAAGTGTTATAAATTTATTACTAATTTATCTACTTATATGTAAAATTTGTCTTTTACACAGAAATATAATAATATAGCTTTTACAATATTTTGATTTTTTCTATTCAATCGTTCTACTTGTGTTATTGATTGCAACAAATAGGTCATTGCGACCACTGATCGATGCACCGCATGTATATAATTGCGTATAGTTATTTATGTAGAGGAGCCAATTGTCGTTCGTCATATTGCGCGAGAATATTGATAGATTACTTTTGGCATGCATTTAACATAATATCTAAAAATATGGCAATCTATATCTAAATTATAGCAATCTATATCTAAATTATATATAGTATTTCCTAACATAATACAGTAGTATCTATTCCGGTGAAAGAATACTTTAAAAAAAATTGTTTAATCTAATTTTTTAATTAAACATCTTTTAAATCAACTAAGTGTCTGAATTAAAAAATGTTCTGTCATTTAATTTAACATATTATCACTTTTAACAAATGACTATCAATCAATTTATAGAATTATCTAATTAATTTGAACGTAATCTATAATTGATTAGTACTTATCAATTAATTGAAAGAGTATATATGAGCTAGGAATGACGATAAGTGATAAGAAAAAAGTTAGTTTAAAAAATATTAAAAAATATGCCATTAAAAAAATGGCAGAATCATTATCAGATGATGATAAAACAGATTCTATTGAATCATCTTCATTTCAAGATAATTATGAAGATTTTAATAAAGAATTTATGAAGAAGCTATTATATAATCAACAAAACGTTAATTGGTGTGATTTTGATATTATGAAAGATGGACAATTATCATTTTGGGAATGTGAATTTTTAAACGAAAGTGAAAATTGGACAAAAAGTACATGTTCTTGTCCAGCTTGTTTAAAGTATTATATTTGTAAACACATTGTAGGCTTAGCAGCACGATACAAATTATGCAGCATCCCATTGGAAGCTAAAAATATTCCTTTGGGACAAAAAAGAAAAAGAGGCCGTGTTGCTAAAGCTAAAAAAGCATTAATTGTGCAATAGTTTTCTTTTTTTTGCTGTGTTTTTTTGTTATAAGTGATAATCGTATCTTTATTTTTTTCTATTACTTTAATTATTAATTAGATATAACTTTGTGTTGTTAGGTAGTGTTACTTGATAAATTAGATATAAATAAATTTTAAAATTAGATATATTATTTTCTTAATTAGATATAAATTCGTCCTATATTAGATATAAATTTATTTTAAAATTAGATATAGATTGCCATATTTTTAGATATTAGTTTAAATTTGCCCCATTACTTTTTACTGAATAAAATAGAAAAATGGAAGAAGAAAAAAAGACAAGGTCATATTCACGAGAGAACCTTAACAAGTGGAGAAATTACTTTGGAAATGAGACTTCTTTTATTAAGTAGACTCTTTTAAAATTAGACAAATTCTAAAAAGATTTGTATTCATATGAAAAATCACTCGACCCTCCACCCTCGAATCTGATCAATTTCAGCAAAAATCTTCTAATTGGTTTCCTGAGTCATCGTTTCCCTCCAATCCTAGCGACCTTGGTACATTCCTGCTCCTATCATCAAATATTAATCTTGAAAAATGTGTTATACAAAATTCAATTGTTGAAGATGATCTGAGGCGGATCACAAGACGAATTCACTAAAATATACTTAATTCAAAAAGAGAGACCTATGGGTACAAGTCCTTTAAGGCTTTATCTAATCTTAATAGAGTCGATTTAATAACGAAAATATTTACATTATATTTAAGAATTTGTTTTTTTTTTCTTAGATTATTTTATTATACGTTATAAATCTTGTCAATATGCAACGTATATACGTAAAAAATTGCATGCATTTCAATTTCCTGATGATGAAATTTTATCAGTACAAAATTAAGATGAAAAGTAAAAAAATAAACAAATTATCTATCGAATTATTTAGTTATTTGTTGTTTTTTGTTTTTGATGAATTTTAGAATTATTAATGATTTAATAAATCAATCACAAAATGAAGATACATCAAGAATTGGTCAATTAATTCATCAAGTATTTTGCGAATTTTTTTTAAAAAATATATCGATTTTTTTTCTTTTGAAGATGAATAATTTACAAGGAAGTCAAGAAGAATATATAGATTATTGTAATGTTATATTATCACCAAAACAAAAGTATGCTTCATTTGATGCATCAGAAAATGATTTATGAATAAAAAGAAAAATTTATCATGTTAAAGAAACGATAACATGGTATCAGTAAAATTCTTCTATTATGAAAACCATCAGAACCATTCAAAAATGTTTAGTTTAAATAGTTGAAACATGATTTACTGTGAAATGAAGAAAAACTTCGAGAAAATTCACTTCTATATTAGTCATAGATGAAGATCTGATTATTCATTCTTTTTTTTTGTGAGTAGAAAACAAAATTTAAATGGTTTTAAAGAAAAATTCTCTAATGTTATTTGTCTTTGTTTTTTTGAACTAATTCTTTCTTGTTTTTTTTTTGGTACATTCACACCTTGTATTTTTCGTCTAACATTTTAATTCTGATACAGAACTAAGTAATATATTATAATCTTTTATTAGTCTATTTACATTGTGATGAATCATTGTCATCTATATTATCACGAATTAACAGTATTTTTACATGCAAAGTAAGCTTGCCTTGTCATGTCATGCTTTATTTGACATGTACAGCTATCGAATCATAAATAAAAATGCACTTGGAGGGCATGTGCGACAGGTGACAAAAAAGAGAAAGAGGGCAAAAAATATGTTCACATTAGAGAAGGTATAATCGTAGAGGGAGCTGCATAAAAAGTTTTTTGCTGTCCAAAGTAAGTAGATATTCAAATTAGATAGAGATATTTACAGCAGACATCACTCCGTCGGACTCGAGCGAGATCGTTCATAATTAGGAGGTGTTCACTAGTGGAGCTTTTATTGTACTACTCTAAGATGTATAGAATAGCTGTCTGTCTAATAATATAATGATCGTGCATATTTTTTTTGAATAAGTTTTACTAGGAAAAAGATAAAGATCTGCGGTTTGTCGTCATTCAAAAGAGGACGTTGGGAAGTCATAGAAATATATCAAATTTGATTGACTTAGCAATTGACCAATCAAATAAAATTTTCTACAGAGATTTTTGATAAGAAATATTTTGAACGCATTTTTCATTTTATTTTTGGTTTTAACATAACCGTTCAGTAGCAAAAAATTGTGCTCATTCGATCTATCCAAAGCTGACATTTCTATCTCATTTCGTTTACAAGTTATAAAGATTTTTCTGAGACTCCTGATATCGACCATTTGACCTGATATCATCCAAAATAGTAGTCTTAAGAGAAGTAACTGATCATGTTGAGTCTAGCGGTGATGTTTATTTTTAGTTTCAAAGTGATTTGAAACCGATATATCGAAATTTCTAAAATATCGAAGGTTTTTGCTATACAACTCGAAAATTTGGAATTTAAAAAATCTTGATAGTGCTTTCAAATCGCTTTGAAACCAAATACAAATATACCCATTAGACTCATCATGGTAAGGTACTTCTCTTTAGATCAATATTTCGGATGATCATCGATCAATTGGTCAAAATCAGGGCTTTCAGAAAAACCTTTATAGTTCGTAAACGAAGCAAGCTAGAAATGCCAACTTTACGTGGATTAACAAGCACAATTTTTTGTACCGAACGGTCATGTCAAACCCGAAAAAGGAATTCAGAATGCATTCCGAATATTCCATGTTAAAATATCTTTGGAAATTTTGTCTGATTAGTTAATCGCTTAACCAATAAAATTTGACCTACTTCTATGACCCTGATGTACAAGTTTGAATGATGACAAATCATACGTCTCTCTCTTCTTCTTCTTCGTACTAACGAAGGTTATTCGAAAAATAGGCATGATTATTAAATTATTAGATAGACAATAATATGAATCGATTACATGGTGGATTTGAATTATATTTTGAAAAGATTGCAGACATTTATCTTATTGTTGTCAAAATACGATATCTCAACAACAATAAGTTAACAACTCTAAATTTTGTTTCAGGATATGCATAGTTTATTAGGATTTACATGATGCATAGAGTTTCGATTGAAAAGCAATTAATCAGTTAGAAGACTTCAGTGGTAAGTTTCAAACAATAATAACATCAATCAAGAGACAGAAATAGTTATAACTATAGATCATTGTTGAAAAATCTTTTTTCAGAATAATTAGATGAATTATTGATCTCATCCATAATCAAATTGTAATAGAAAATTCAATAAGAACTTTTTCTATGATCTTTAGAATCATAAATTTCATTGTATTTTTTAAATATAGAAAATATTTAAAATAAAATATTTATCTTAGGTTGCCAAAATCTTACACATTATACCTCAACATTCTATATCTGAAGATTTTATTCGTAATATATTTAATCGATTTGGTAATTTAATAGATGTTCGTTCGATAAATTCACAATTATGTTATATTATGTTCAGTGATGAACGTAGTGCTGATATTGCTATGAAAACAATGAATGGACAAGGAAATTCCATTAATTCGTACACGTGCTGTTGAAAGTAATACATCTATTGATTCAACAACAACTTCTGTTGTACATTGCAAACGTCAACAAGCATAAATAAATATAATAGAACATTAATATTTACTTTGGTTTAACTGCAACAATATATTTATATATTATATATATTTATATTCTAATCTAAATAAGATTTTGTTTTATTATTATTATTATTATTATCATTTATGTCATATACATATATATCCTTTGTCTTTTTTTATTATTTATTCTTGTTTAAAAAAAAATTATATATATGTGAATGTTTCGTTTGTTATTCTGTTATTCGATTATTTTCTTTTCATCATTATTGTCGTCAAGTATATTTGGATATTTTTTTTTTCTTTTCTCCTTTTTTTTCTAGATGGAAGAAGCTTTTCGTATTAATCAAAGAAAAAGTCGAAAAGCAAGAAATGATGTAGCTGTAAGTTTTGTTTCAATTGATATGTCTTTTTTTTTTTTCTTAACATATGTCGCACACTTATTAAATCGATGAATATACAGTCTAATGTTTTGTTTGCTTTTTGTTTCAAGGTTCAAGGTACCAATGACTCAAGTATCTTATCAAAAGTATCAATGGTTAAACTTGGGTATTTTAATGATTTATTTCTTCGAGAATTTGTTGATAAAGATGTAAGACGTTCACCATCAATCAATCGGTTTGTAATGAAAATATTTTTTTGTTTTAATTTATTTTGAATTTTTTAGAGGTTATTACATTAGAATGAAAGCATTAGAATATGCTTTAAATATGTTTTATACAGTTTATGATCAAAAAGAAGTACAGGTAAATCTTTGAAAAAATAATAAATATGATGTTTTTGCATGTTTCCTAAATTGAAATTTTTTCTCAAGTAAGGAGTACAATGTATCGTTTGTTAGTAGACATTATTGTTACTCGAAAGAACTTCTGTAATTAGACTTAAACTAATAATGGAAGGTTTTATACTGTTAGCTAAAAAATATTAGGCATATTCAGGTTAAATTAACAAATTAAAAATATGAGCTGTCCATGACGTGCAGTGAGCAAGATATTGGATTTTTTAAGAATTTACAGTGCATGTAAGATACCGATAAGTAGTGGTGTAATCCAGAGTGGGCTAGTCTGGATGAGATCCTATCACCAGGAGACAAAAAAATGTCGTAATAATTACTATCATTGACACTATATTGCATGGATTTTCCTCAAGATCGTAGGGTACCGTTCTATCAGTCACGATTTTCTGGTTACGTCACTATCCACAATTCAAAAGTTTAACGCTATTTATTTTGCTTTTTTTTTCATGATGATTGGATAGAGCTCGTCGAGTGGCATAAGAAAAAATGTGTCTCAAATCTAAAAGAAAATTTAAAACAAAAACTAATGAAAAAGATTCAAGGTATCATTATCTTCAAATATAAAGAAAATAGACTGAAAAGTTTTGATTTTTGTAAAATCTTTTGAAATTTGTTTTTAAGTCTAAAATACACTTTTTCCTTATGCAACTCCACGAACTCTATTCAACCATTATGAGATAGTGGCGTAACCAGAAGATCGTAGATGGTAGAGTAGTATTCTATGATTTTGAGAAAAATCCATGCAACATAATGTCAATGATGGTAATTATCACGGTTTTTTTTTGTATCTTCTGATGATAGGGCACCGTCCAGTCTAGCCAACTGTGGATTACACCACTACTTGTAAGTATCTTGTATATACTGTAAATACATAAAAATTTCATTATCTCGCTCGATGTACGTCATAAGTAGCCCATATTTTAAAATTATTAGTTTGGCAGTGAGAACTTAAATTTGACTTGAATATGTCTAATATTTTTTTCTACATTTTCGATTATCTAATCCTCTTAGAACGTCGATTTAATGTTTAAATAAACAATGTAATTTTATATTGACTGAATCTCGTATAGAAAATGGAAATATTTCTCAAAGAATTTTTTTCTATAGAACAAACAAAAATCAAATTCAACAGAACGGGTTATGGAAAAAGTAATTTGATAAAATATTTATTCATTGGCCAGCCTCTCAAAAGGAGACTGCAGATATTTGAAGCCATTGGTATTGTTTCCGAATATAGATCCAAGATTTCTCTAGGACTTATAATTTATAAATTATGAGTCGAATTTTTAGAACAGCTACCGATTTATTTTATCATAGGATTAAAACTATGGATTGTTTTCTATAGAGTGATATAAGAATCAAGAATTTCAGAACAATTATTCAAGAATGATCGAGCTCACTTTGTAAGTCTGTTTTCGATGGAAATTGGTTAAATTGAGACGGTATAGTTTTACTAGAAATACACAATGTTGACAAATGACATGCAGCAAACTAATCATTAATATACTATTTTATAGAAAAAAATGTTTAACCTTTCATTCATTATATTTGAAATAATTTTCGTTTCTACTTTGGGTTAGTTTTGGCGTGCTGAAGCTAGTCCAAACTCTATTTACAGACTTGAAAAAAAAAGTCGCTTCATAATTCTTAAACCAGAAATTCTACAAAAAAAATCTCTGAAGCCTTATTCGAAAAGAATGCAAAGTTTTGATTGTCATTCAATGTTTTCAAATGTCTGCAGACTTCTTTAACAGATTTTTAAAAAAAAATCAACGAATATTTTATCAAATTACTCGTTACTAGTATTACTTTGATATATACAATATTAAATTTTATTAGAAAATAAAATAAATTTTCTCGATTTATGACACATATTGTAAAAAATTAAATTATTCGTCTGTACTCATATTTTCCGATGTAGATTGTTAATTTAGGTGCTGGATTTGATGCAACTTGGTTTCGATTAGATGACGAACGAAAACAACGAACACATTTTATTGATGTAAATATATATATATATTTCATATGAAAAACATAGTTGCTGAATTTTCTATATCTAGATTGATTTCCCTGAAGTCATGCAACGTAAATTAGCATTAATAGAAGTTCGTTCTCGTTTAAATGAACAATTCGAACCAATTCATACATATAGTTCATTAGAAAATTTCGGTAATTAAACAAAAACTCGTATTTAATAAATTGTTTTTTTTTGTGAAACATGATCTAAAATGAGTGTCGAAGTAGAAATTTGCACCCCCAACAAACCATGACAGACATTACCACAGATCATGGCAGATGCCTTAGCAACATTTCACTCTCTAGACCTTGTCGGATCCAGAAAAACTTGGACTCGATCGGTTGTAGTCGTCTGAGAAATATGTAGAGTGCTCTAGTCACTGAATGCAGAAAACCAGAAGAAGTATCTCGTATCTTCTGGGCAATTATCTAATTCTGATTAGAAAATTTCATTGACAGTATCAAAGTACGGTTCGACCACGACAGGAACCTTAGCAACTCTCCGTCATCCCCACGTCACAGACTCTTTATCAATAATGTCTCAATATCATATATGAACTACTTCCTTATTGCATTTCTGGAGGGTTAAATAAAAGAATGACGAAGAAATGTTTCGCAGAATAGATCGAATAAATGATTAACAACACTAGCTATATCGTGTTTCACATTTTAATTTCACCGGAATTATGTTAACAGTCTTTTCTTGTATGTTTTTTTTTCAGCTGTAACAAATGAAAAATATTCATTAATTGGTGTTGATATGCGAGATCCTTTAACTCTAAATACACTTTTACAAACAGTTAAAGTTGATGAAACTAAACCAACTTTATTAATAAGTGAAGTTGTTTTAACATATATGGGTCGATCAAGTTGTAATCGTGTTATACAATGGATACTTGATTTTTTTCAAGAATGTATTTTATGTACTTATGAACAAGTATTTGATTTTTATTTTCTACAGAAATAATTGATTGTTTTTTTTTTCAATCTAATTCAATATTAATTCATAGGTTTTACCAGATGATGGTTTTGGTCAAGTTATGGTTGCACATTTTGCTAAATTAGGTTCACCATTAAAGTGTATTCATCAATATCCAACAAGTGAATCACAAGTTCAACGTTATACTCATTTAGTAATATGAATAGTAAAAAAAATTGAATAAAATTAACTTTTTTTATTTCAGGGTTTTGATGTTTCACTTTGTGTAAATATGCATAATTTTTATCGAAATTATTTACCAATTGATGAACATAATCGTATTGATACATTAGAACCTTTTGATGAAATTGAAGAATGGCAATCAAAATGTGCTCATTATATACTTTTATTTGGTTTAAAAACACCATCGAATATATCAAAACAATGGTTTGAACAAATGAATAAAGATTTTATAACAATTATTTATGTAAAAAAAAGAAAATTTAATTAATAATAATAATAATAATAATCTAAATGATGAACAAATTAAACCTAATATTCAATTTGAAAGTTATCCAACAACTATGACTTATGCACAACGCTTTGGACATCAATCTATATTAATTAATGAAAAATATGTTTGGACTATTGGAGGTTTTGGAACGGTTGATGGAAGACATAGAAGACTAAAAACTATTGAAGTATTAAATATTGATAATGGAGATATTCAAAGATTAGATAATCACTTACTTGGTAAGAATAATAAGCAAGAACTAAAACAAAATGTCATATGATAGAAATCAGAGCTCTGCATGAGATAGGACTAGTGTTTTATCCAAGTTTTCTCTTCCAGATAGGTGATTTAAAACTCTAGGAGGACGAACATCTATTATTGAGAGTATAGACACATAGTACATAGCACAAGAACTATAAACTTCGAGAGGATCAATCCGATCTTTGGTGAAACGCCACCCTCTCGACCCTACATTGGATAGGACAGTTCCATCCTATCCCATGGGAATGATGGAACGTAAGTTTTTTGATAAACATCTCATGAGACTAGAGCTCGTGAGGTTCGTCCCGGATCCGGCCATGTCCTGCTCTGAAAACTTAGGAATCCATGGACTCTAGCATCCAAATTTCTCAAATGACTCGTCTGAGAAATGTATAGGACGCACTAGTCACCGAATACAAAGCGCCGGAAAAAGAGTATCTCGTGTCATCGAGGTAGCTACCCTATTTCGATTAGAAAATTTCATTGAAAGTATCAAAGTACGGTTCGACCACGTCTGAGTTTGAAAATTTTGACTTCTATAGGTTCTACATGGAACAAACAGCTACTTCTCCAAACATTTTTTTTTATAAGGAGAGATATTTGTATTTTTTCATATAGATGATGTTCTTATCTATTTCAGTATGGTTAACGAAAGTAAAATTTTCTTCTGTTTTATAAGTTACTCTGTATTGTAACCATTAGAGCACAGTAAAATAAATAATAATGAATGAAGAAACTCATGTAATCAAAATCACGCAAAAATTGGCGATGTTATAGGGCATACGACCGTCTTTCGTCAGCTTACTCATCAAATTTTATCATAAATGAGAAGAGAAATGATTTTGTTCTCTCTAATGTACCATAAATAATAAAAAAAACAGTAGTTTTTTTTTATACAATAATGTTTACTGTTCATTGTGGTCTTGAGATCGATCTAAATAATTGAAGGAAAAGTTTATGAATAAATACTTACTATTGAAGTTCGTTGCAAAATCGACGATTTATCGCAATTTACTATAATATCCGAAAAAACGTTGATCAATCACGATTAATCACCAAAATTAAATCGATTTTGAGAACATGGAAAGAAACAAAAGAGGCAATTCTGTCTATTGTAATAGTCAAAAGTAGTGAATCGATTCAGATTTTATTAATAACTGATAAAATGTCTTCCAAAGATTCATTATCATCAGTTATTAAAAATCCGTCTAATCCATCTAATTCAAGAATCGTTTTGCGGGTGTGGATGTAAGTATGAGTGAGAGTAAGGGTGTATGCAAAGGTAAGTATGAGGGTGGTGCTAAGGCGGAGGGTGATCGTAAGAGTACGTCATTGGGAGTTAAAAGAACAGTCTCTGTCACCGTATCTGGGCAAGTACATGTGTCAGTGAAATAACATTTCTCGATTTTTATCTCTGACTTCTAGTTTTCTGTTTTTTGCGAAAAAAAAAAATCAGAAACCACCCGTCAGAGGTTTAGTAAAAGTTAATCATGATTTGAGATTTGCTCATGGTCTGATCAGTTACAATGTTTCTCTTGTCAGTTATGTTTCTCGGAAATATTATCAATAAAAAAATTTTATTCTACACACTAATAAAAATAATTGAATTTGCATTTAGTTTATAGGGAAAACTTATCAATAATATTTTATCTTCAATTGATCAATGTTATGTAAAAATATCTTTTTATCTAAATCTTAATATTTGAATTAATTCAAATATAAATTATCTATTAATCATCAAAAGATCAAAATAATCTAATTATATATTTTAATAAATTATAGGTGAACACGTTTTTCATACATGTCATCAATCAGATAATTTAATATTCTCATTTTTTGGTCGTAAAAGTCCTGGAACATTAAATTCATATACTTCAATTGATATAAACAGTATGTCGTATCATAAAGATTTTTCTTTTCAAAACTAAATTAGAATTTGTTTGTTTTTTTTTTCAAAATTAGCTCTTCAAGTTACAAATTTCAATGAGGATGAAAAAATACTTCGACGATGGCGTCACTGCTCTTGTTATATAAAAGAAACAAATAAAATAATTATATTTGGTGGTTATTTAAATATGTCAAAATCAACAAATGACATACTTTGTTTACAATCGAATGGTCAACTCATACAATCTCAAGTAGTTTTGTTTACTTTCTTATAGAAATTTTATATATATATTTAAAATGTTATTTAGTTTTCACAAACAAAACCAACAAATCGACATTCAGCTCGTTTAAATGCTTATAAACATTTAGCTGTTCTTTCTGGTGGTTTATTAGAAAATGATGAACCAACGAATGAAATTTGGTTATTAGATACATCTAAAGATATTATGAATTGGACATTACTTCAAACAAATGGAATAATTATACCAAGGTATAAAGGAGTAATTATTTTTAAAAATATTTTATTCATTCTATTTTTATTTTTAAGATATTCACATAGTGCAGAGATTATTGATGATACACTTTGGTTATTAGGTGGAATGAATGCTAATGAACGTAGACCACCAGGTTTATGTAAAATTAATTTAATAACTGGTGAAGCTATCGAGTATATAATACCGGTAATAGAAAAATTTAATTATGTAAATTATACGCAAATCAATATTTGTTTTCTTCATTGTTTAGACAATGTGTAATGAACAACCGATTATACTTTATAATCATCAAACAGTACTTTTGAATAAAACAACATTTCTTATATTAGGAGGCGGTGGAAATTGTTTTTCTTTTGGTATGATTTGAGAATTTATATTGAATTATATTCATATCTTTATTTATTCCTTAGGTGCCCATATCAATCAACCGATGATTCTTAAATTTGATCATTTAGTAAACTGAGGTTTTTTTCCGTGCTTGAGAAGTTTATGATGTTGTTTTTTTTCTTTAATCGAGAAAATAAAAAAAAATTTGAGATTTTTGTTGTGTTTATCTGAGTATGACATTTCATATTAAATTTGAATCGGGTAATATATTTAACCTGATTATAAAACTAAACTAAAACATTTTTTACTTATATTTTTATAAGTCATTATTTCGCTAGAAAAAATTTTCATTTATCTTTTTCTATCACGATCATTGATAAATAATAGTTAGACATGTAATAGTTCTAGTTCAATGAATTGAACTAATATTCATTTCTTCCCGTTGAAATCACAAATACTTTTTTAATCAAAATAGGTACTCATATAATTAATAATATTCTCTTTCTAATGAATAGAATTTTGAACAATATAAATTTATTTATTAAAAAGAATTTATTCAGAAAAATAAATGTAAGACAGAACTTGCTTTGAATAACTGTCTGTGATATAGTTCTCGTATTGTGCAGCATAAAAATGCTAAATATTACTCGACCATAGTCGACAACAACTTAAGTTTCTATAAATGGATAGCATGAGAAAAATTTAATTATGCGCATTAGAGGTAATGAGGTGCGTATCTGTCTTATTTATATCTAATGAAGTTATAGCAGTCTAGGTAAAAAGACAATTATATAAAAATTTGAAAGTCGTAGAAGAGCAAGCATGTCTACTTCGTGACATATTAATTTTAAAAAATTCTTTTTATTTTTATTATAATGGAATATATTAATGTTTTATTTATAAGTATAATATTCGCCCATATTTTCTGTATACCTAACTGTAATTATTGATTTTAATGTTCTTAGAAAAAAAAGAACTGAGTATGATTTTTCATATATATCAATTTCTTGAATATAATATAAATGGTTCACATCGTATAAAACTTCTTTTATTTGATTGTTAAACTCCTACGGAAAGCGCATGTGAAAAGAAAAAAAAAGAAGCCTTCAAAGTATTCAATATAATGAGAAATCTAATTATGCAGAAATCACTTGTTGTTTTCTTTCTTAAATTTAAACATCGAAAGTACATTTTATCAAGGATTAAGATAAAACTCTTTTTGAGAGACTATTTTTTATTTTTGCGACTATGTTACAGAATAGATTTTAGTTTATATAATAGAAAAGACAAAAAGAAAAGAAAAAGAAATATTCTCTCTTCCTGCTCGTATTATTACACGCAACACATATTTCCATACTTCATAAACATTTGAATATATATATATATATATAAACTAGATTAATATCTTTACATAGATAAATAGTTAAAATAATGGTATTAACAAAACGTAGTTGGCATTTACCATTAATTTGTCAAATATGTGGTGATAAAGCACGTGGAATGAATTTTGAAGTAATGACATGTATGTCATGTAAAGCTTTTTTTCGACGTCATGCATTACAGCCGATAGTAAGTTTCAAATAAAATTTAATAAATATGATATTTTTCCTCAAGTTTTGTTTTTTTGAATTAGTATTTTCTTCAATGTCAACATGGTAATAATTGTGAAATAACACAATTAACACGTGGTAATTGTTCAGCTTGTCGTCTAAGAAAATGTTTTTCATTTGGTATGAATCCAAAATTAATACGTTACAAATCGAAAAATCATCATCATCATCGATTATTAAAAAATAAAAATCAACGATTGCCAAAGGTTTCTTTTCTTCTTAGATTTTTATTATCTATCAATTAAATATTCGTCATTCTTCTAGCCACCACCACTCAATCTTCTTGAAAATGATAGTTCAACCTTAACCAATATTGAATGGAATCTTTTATCAAATATAACTCATGTTTATGATCGAGAAAATCCAATTGAACATGCCAAATATATGCTTGAACACCAAGCATCATTACCACCAAAACTTCGTTCAAAAGCAAAATCAACATTAGATATAGTTGAATATTATTATTCCACAATACAATCATTCCTTGAACGTGTACCTTATTTTCATGATTTATCAATAGATGCACGTCGAGCTCTTATTCAACATAATTCTTTTACACTAGGAACATATAATTCACTACTTCTTATTCGCGAAACAAATGCATTTGATTATTCAAGTTATAATTTTGGCTGTCAGAATCTATATGGTTATGAAAATTGTTTAATGACAAAAAAATTCATTACAACATTAGAACAAAATAGAACACTTGTTAAAATAATGCTTTTAATTACTGCTTTTTCTGAAAATTGTTCAATAGTTTCATTAGATTATTCCCAAAGTATGACAACAATGACAAGTACAATATCTTTATTTCATACACAAAATATATTGGTATCAATGCTTTGGAAATATTTAAATTATCAATATGGATTTTTAGGAGCTGCTAAATGTTTTCATTCTTTTATTCAATATGTTTTAAATTTAATTCGATGGACTGCAAGAAATCCTAGTACTCAACATTCTGATATGGTCGATACACTTATTGAAAATACTACACGTTCATTAACAATGCATGATTAAAATAATTTAATAAATTTTAATGGATCTCATTTTGTTGTCTAATAGTATATTTTCTTATAAAAATTAAAGAAAATATATTCCAAATTGTTATTCTATATGTAAATTAATCTTTTATTTGTGGTTTATCATTTATATTTATATGTTTATTTCGTTATTATTTTTACATTGGTGTATAATGGAAAAAAATGTAACAAATTTTTGGGATCAATCCACTTAAAAATCGTGACAAACAGATGAAACTTTGTTTTTCTTTTCTTGTTTTATTTGAAAAAATATTTTTCGGTTTTAAAGAAATAAATTTATTTATTTTTTCTATAAGAACTAATTCCACTATTTCATATTTTAATTATTAAAATAATTTTAATATATATTCTATTTATATTATGGAATGATTTTAAAAATCATGAACACATAAATTAAATAGAAATAAAAAAAGACACGTTCATAATCTTGAAAAATGAAATCCAGACTCATCGTAGAATATTTTCCATACAAATAATTGCAATAGATCAAAAAAACACAAGACATTAACATGTGTCTTATGATACTTGTCCCTGAGGACATACATTAGCAGTACTTACAAGTTGAACTCTTGAATTCGGAGAAAAGAAAAAGCTTGTTGTTTTTTTTTACATTCTATATGAATTGAATAATAAAGTATACTTTATAATTAGCTTGATAATGATCAAAATATCATATAATAAACGCGAAAAGATCATTTGATTTTAGTAAAACTAATTTATTTAATCAGTCAATAATCGAATTCATTATCTTATTCTATAAAATCTATACATAGCAAAATAAATTTGTTTTTAAAGAATATCTCATATAGAATTTCTTTTTATTAAAATTCGGAAATTTTTTTCTTTTATCATGAATTGAATACTATGCTAAAAAGTTATCAAGTGTATTGTTCTACACCATAACTCATTTCAATGAAAACTTTAGAAAAAGATATAAGAGGCTAAAAGTACGTGCTGTCCTTAAAGTTAGTCAAATATTCCTACTGTGACTTTTTTCATTAATTTTCTACGCCATAACAACCTTCTTATTAATTTGAAAGGTTTTTTTGCCTCGTCTATTTTCTTATTCTGTTGTCCCATAAACTTTATGTTTCATTTATTTTATTTTTTTTTTACATTTCTTAACGTACGATGACAAAGAATCTAAGATTATCTTGACATCGAATGAATTACTAGTAATTTCATTTTTTTTTAAAAGAGCTTTCATGATTTTACGGATTATGCATCTCTTGTAAAGCAGTTGACAAATGGAAGAAATTAAACTCATATCGGCTGAAGAAAAAAACAGATCACATGAAAATATTTTCTTTAAAATATAAAAACTGAAAACAATTCAAAAAAACAACTTCATATTTACTTTTAAGCTATACTAAACAAAAGAACAAACAAACAAAATGATTTGCTTCTATAAAATTTATAATCTAATTATCTAATTACAATTTACTTAGTCACCTCTCATGATTGACAGAGACATTCTTTTTTGACTTTTTCTTATGTGCTTAAGATTTTTTTTGTCATTGACATGAAAATCTTAATGTCTAACGGGTATATCAGAATAAATTGCATTAAATCTTAGTGAACTCTTTTCGGATTTTCTATTTATAAAAAAATTACTTTATAAACTATAGGATAGAGAATTTAAAGCTCTATAAAACTACCTTTATCCTAGATCTAGATCTGTTATTATATTTAAAAAATTGAAAATGAAAAATAAACATAGCCAAAGACATACACTACCATGTATTACTACTAATTCAAATCTTTTTTGACAATATGTTAACTTTGATTGATTAATAATGGTCATATATTTGTAAGAAGATCCCAGTTCATTTATTGGTTGAATTGATGCAACGTAGAAAAATTTTATCGGATCAGAATTCGAACCATTCCGTGACTTACACTATTTAGCAAAAGCATCAAAAAAATCTTTCTTACACCATAATTACCTTCTGTCGGATGTTTTTAGACTTTATTGTAAACCATTCTGAGGCAGTACATGGATCTAAACTAAATACAGTTTTATAGAGCCTAAATTCCTCTATCTTTTAGTATGTAAACAAAATTGTTGCTATAAATAGAAAATGAGAAAAAAACTTACTGAGATTTAATGTAATTTATTTTGGGACATCCGTTAGTAACACTGAGATGACTATGACGGATAGTAAGAGTTATAGTCAATAATGGATCTTTATAAAAATCAATCAAAAGAAATCGAAGGTGGCGAATCTGTATGCGATGTTCATTTCATTACTTTTTAATATTCTATAAAAAAAGTGGATCACAGGCAATCGTAGATGGACAATCAGATTTCCAGACCGATTTTTTCTATTTTTATAGTTTTCTTTTATGTAGTGATGGTATCATCTCTTCATCTTTTCTTTTTTTATGCATGAATATATATCCATACATGTATGTCTGTGATCTGTTTATAAGAGAGAATAGACAAGGAGACTAGACAGTCAGACGAACATTTTCATTATTAG